ATCCTGTTTCACAAAAATTTCTGCTTATTTGCATCGCCAAGACTCTTAAGAATCCTTGAACTCTTCTCCAAATAAAGGCTCCCGAGTCCACAGTCCATAGTCCGCAGTTCGGATTCCTCTGAGCTCTATTCTTTGTACTTTAATTATTCATTTCTAGGACAGAGCGTCTAAGCTTTCGCCATCAATTTATCATAGCAGCTTCGATTGCATAACTTTGCACTGGTTTGCTAAGAGTCATTTGGCCGAAAAATACACATCATAATCCCTTTGTAAGGATTTGTCCCTGGTCCATGGCTTTGGCCGCTTTGAGGGCCGTTGCGTTCCGCTCTGAGCCCAGAGCCCCCTCAACCTTACTGTGCATTCAATTATTGTTGGCCTCGCAGTTGGCCATTGTCTCAGGGTCCCTGTCCGCAAATTCGCAAAACTAATGAAGTGCTGCAGCTTCTTGAGCAGCCTGCTAATGCCACTGGAGTCCTTTTCCGTCTCCCGGACGCTTGGACTCTTGAACTCTCCAGCCACTTGGCCACATGTATAAGCATGTTTTCTGGTTTGCTTCACAGACAAAGCTTAGAACCACTTAAGAAAATCCATTCACAACCTGAAACTAACTAGAGTCCTGACCATCCTGCCCTCGGCGGTGTACCCTCCACCATGCCTGTGTGTGGATGTCCTGCAAAGATTTTCGAACTACGTCTGCTGAGGTTGCTGTTGCTGGCCACTGCCGTTTTTGCTGGCAAAAGAAAACTCACCTGATGATGGTCCCAAATCAACATATGAAGCAAACAACAAAAAGGATTAAGTCTAAGACACACACACAGAGGGCTCTAGGACCCCCCAAGCTCATGCATAGTTGTACATGTCTAAGGACAAAAAATGAATTTATTGCGCAACAAAAACAAAAACGAAAACTTGAGACAATTCCAAAGCCTAACCCAAGAGGCCGAGGACGAGGCCAATTTAGCAGCTGAACAGCCAATGGCAGGGATGGGCGATGGGCGGCTAAGGATGGGGGCTTGAGTAAAGGATTCAAATAAATTACTGCTACGGGCCATACTTATTTCATTAGGATTATTTTTGACTAACATTTACGGGCCTCATGCCACACGTTGCGAAAGTAATTGGAGAGGAGTTGGATAACCGGCGACTCGACCGGCTTGGACTCGATTCCCTGCCCAGCCGGCCGATATCCGGTCGTATCCGACTGGCCGTGTTTCGATTGGTGCGCTGATGAGGGCGCTAAACGCAAACAGCCGGCGATAAAAAGAAAGAAAATGCCTCACGGCATTAATTATAATCCGCTTAAAAGTTTCAACATGTTTTCCCAGCCCCCCAAAAGCCCAATACAAAAAACGCCCAATACAAGAGGCACAAAAAAAGTGCAAATCCCAAAATACGCCTCTGAGTCAGAGGGCAAAGGCCAATGCGAAGAAGAAGCGGTTTTCCTCCACGAACTGCAAAGTGCAGAAGAATATTCACATGTGCACAAGTGGAACTCGAAGTGCCGAAGAGCAATGACTTTGATTCGGAACAAAAGCCCCAGGCCCAGAGATCTCAGGTCAAGAAGGCGAAGACTCCAAGTAATCCTGGTAACAAGCACATGAGGATGAGGGCTACCGGTTCATAACATAAATTGTATATTTCAAGAAACTGGTAATCCAAATTCAATACTTTACCAATTTCCAATCAAGTTAATCTTTTATTCCCCGGGGTATTTGTGGTTCGATAAAGCGAAAGCAATTGTTGCAAGAGTCCTGCGGCGAAGGATCGAAAATGCCTCTGGCAAAAAACAAACCTATTTTCATTTTATTGTCCTGCTTAAAATGTTTATTTTTCTTTTGAGAATGCAGGGAGACTGCAGGGACTAAGGCCAGGATATGCAGGAAACAAAAGGTGTGAGATGCCAGCCAAGCGAAAGGCTCTTGTACCTCGCATTTATGTGTGTGTGTCAGGACCTTCGCATAGGTGTGTGGGTGAGGAAAGTTCTTAAGTCGCTCGGAATACTAGTGAAGCTGCAGAGAGCTGTCGGAGGCATTATAAATTAAAATGCACGCATTAAAAATTCTACTAAAAAAGAGTTTGCAATTAAGTAGGACTTAAGTTGAAGTGTAAATAAAAATTCACACACACACATACATGTAGAAGCAGGATCCCTTAAGACGCTGGGTGAAAAGGACATGAAAATTTGTTTTCTGGCGTGAAGTGAAGGAAAAACTTGTGGCAATTTCCTTAAGACTATTGCTTAATTTCCGGTCACTCTTTCTTGTATAAAATCCCCTCAACCACCCACACAAACACACACTCTCCGCACAACTTACGCACACACATGCACCACAGCATAGTAGCATAGTATAGCATAGAGAAGCCTACTTAAGTCCCTTGAAATCCTTAAGATTTTTTGCACTGGTCAAGCAATGATAAGCAAATTTCCCAACAGTTCACTTGGCTTAAGACGAGCCAGCCCGGTCAACCCTTCAACCTCCTTGAATCCTTTCACCCCAATAGCCATCCCCTTCTCGGAGCTCGTGTGTCCGTTCTGGTTATTAAAACTTTTCAGCTCGCCTGTTGAAATTTTAATTTTCCTAAATACCCAAATCACTCAAAATCATTTTAATAAGTAAATTATGAGCATTCCGGGCTATAAATAAACAATCACACAATTTATTCCATCGAAAAAGTAGAGAAAAGACTACAAATATTTGCCGGAGCCGGAGAAGGATACTTGAGTAATCCTTTGCAGTCACCTAAATAGCTTTTCCAGCCTCAGTCTGTGTGTGTGTTGAGTGTGTGTGTGCCTGCCTGTAAGGATTAAATCGTTTTGATGTCCTTGCCAGGGCAATTTATAATTATTTGTTTGCCTCGGCCTGTGGTCAGCCAATTGGTCAATTTCTTAGAAGAAAGTCGAGTGGATAAAACTTTTCCACCCGGCACAGCCCTCCACTTTCTCTGCCTGATACTTTATGCACATGAGATGTTTCTGGAAACTTTTCAAAAGATTATAAGTCCTGAGCATGGAGCGGAAATCTCCTGAAGGCACAGTCGCCATCACTGCCATCCTCGATGGCCTGGGAAATTTTCCAATTTCAGTTGATTGCGATGACTGAACTTGATTATTTTCAGCTGCCATCGATGCAGGTTAATAAATCTTAAGCCGCGTGGCGGTTGACTGCCGATGGTAGGTGAGGAGGTGGGGCGATTGGGAATATCATCTCAGAGTTCATTTACAAATCGTTTGTCGGCTTAGCGGGGCAAAGGAATAAGGAAAGTTAACAGGAGTCTTTCACGGTCCACAGTCCGTGCTATCTGGCTGAATTGCTTGCCAAGATTTAATGCCCTCGAACGAACAAACGAACGAACAGTTGTGCCACCCACATTTAATTCAATTTGTTTTGGCCCAGCTCGACGACTGTCTCGATTACATTTTTTGTGCCCAGACTGACTGCCACTGATAATGCTAATAAGGATAAGCTCTGTCTGCCATCGTTGGCCGGGTGACTTAAAGCTGCTGATTCCGGTGGGTTTGGCGGCCCGAAATGCCCTCCTCCACCATCTCTATGAAAATCCCGGTAAACAGGCTCGATGCAACAATTAGTGGCTGCTCCATGGCCGGCTTTCGGCTTTCGGCTTTGGGCTTTAGGCTTTAGGCTTTCGGCTCCACACACACTAAACGTAATAGGCAGTGGAGTACTCGGCCCACTGGGCCACCCAATCGCACACATATGCATGCAGGTGGACGACGAAATCCGCTTTTGTTTTAGCCCCATCAAATCATGGCTCCATGGATAATGGATATATTGAGTTTATAATTCGCTTTTGCAGGACGCCGCACACACATTGAATTTCCACCAGACCAGGCCGGGCCACCGCACTAATGACCAGTTTTTGGCCCTCCATAATGCCAAAACATTTCCGCGGTGGCATGAGATGATGTGGATGGTGGCGGGGGGGGTGGGCCACAAACAATACGTAACCAAACGGCTAATTTCGTTTAAATTTACGCCAGTTGAAAATTTCGTAATGCAAAATTTATTCAATTTAATTGGATTATTTTTACAACTTGACAACTCGGCGATGGTGTCCTTTAAAGTTCTAGAGTGGTGACAAACAATGCATTATAGTTGAATTCTTTATTCCTTTTCAACTCGGCTATAATCACACACACACACACATTCATACTCTTCCAGCCAACTCGGCTGATGTATTTATTTTTAATGCCAATGGCCCCCAATGAGGTTTTCATGGCAATTAAAAGATTTGCGTGCCACACACTCCACCCACGAGAAATATGCCATGAAAATCGGCCGTAATTGGGCTGAACTTTTGGTTGGTCCGATATTCCACTAAAGGCCTGCCTGCTTCCCCTCAACCCACCTCCGGGGGTTCTTTAAAACGCTTCCAGCTGTCCGAGCCCAGCAAATACCAATCGTTCGCCAATCTCTGGCTGCTTACAATTTTTATAATTGGAATAATTAATAATACCATTATGTTGGTCGGTCCTGGGGCGTTAAGCTTATTTGGCCAAAGCCCCTCCCCCCTATATGTAGGCCTCATTGCCCATAGACCCCGCCCATTTCCATGGAAAAAGTTCTATAACTTCTATTGCCTGAATTTTGGAAATTTTAATTTAAGCCCTTCGTTATTGGTTAGTAGGAGAAGTTTAGTGAGTCAATATTTTCAAAAATTTCATGTTCGAAAATACTTCTCGCGGCAGAGTTTTGAGCCAAGTCAGGTGGGCCCAAAAGGGGCGGCAATTTAAGCGGCTAAAACCATTTGTGGCTAACCGCAACATGCAATAATTTATTTTAATACTTTAGTGCGTGTGGCGGCGGCCGAGAACCAATCTGCATGAAAAGCCCCATTTTGAATATGTTTTAATTGCTTATTTTAATTTGTCGATGATTTGCACTTGGAACTAGACGAAACTAAACCGATTATTAAACTGCTCTCGAGCTATTAGAGTTATTAGTCTGTCCCCTAACCAGTTTTTTTCCCCTCTCTTGCAGCCAAATCACTTCCACTCCACTGTGTGGTGGAGTCGGTGCACTCGCTGCACGCCTCCCTAACCATCGACACCCGCCAGCCCTGGAAGCGGCGGCCCAACATCGAGACGGACAGCTATGTGATCATCGCGGCGGCCACGCCCTGGAGCGAGATTGTCCAGACCGCCCTGCAGAGGCTCGGCTACTCCCAGGAGGTGGCCAACACAGCCAGAGGTGGGTAGTCCCAACTAATCAGCCAACATTAGCCTGAGACAACAGGTCCTTCTAACAATATGGCTAACCAATTGTTTCCTTCAGGCTCTCTTATAATCAAGCACTGGAAACCCATTCCCCTGGAGCAGATATCCGATAATCCGGCCGTGCCAGTCAGTGATATCGTGGGGGAACTCACATCGGTGATCACTCTAAGGATTGTCATCCTGCGGCCCAAGACATCGCCGCTGGGCGAGATCAAGGACAAGCTGTTGAAGCTGCTGGTGTTGCAGTCGCATGCGGTGCTCCGCTCCACAGGATGTCCTTTGGATGAGGTAAGTCTCCTTCCGCTCCCAATTAGACATTCACTTTGAACTTTCACTTCAAATTCTGCACTAAGACGACAAAATTCTATAATGATTCATAAGCGGTTTACGGTTTACGGCTCCGGAGTGCTGTGCCTTCCCCTACTTCTTGATCCGTCTTCGAGTTGCTAAAACTTGCCGAAAAATGTCTCCGGATGAGAGGGGGGACGGACGGCGCTAATTTGCGTGACGTGAGCCATGAACACACACATACACTCACATCAAGGATACTCATCAACTTTTGCATGTCCTGTCTGCTTGCGGAATATTAAACTCATTGAAAATGTTTTGATAGCGACTACAAAGAAATTTTGTTAAGCCGAGTTCATTTATTTGGTTCACTTAACTAATCCTTTTTTGCAATAGTTTTCATTTTAATCCGCTTTACGTTGCCAGTCTCTGTATCTGTATCTGTATCTTCAGGATGTGCGTGTGCGTGTATCTGAGTATGGCTTTTGTTTCCTTATTGAAATCGGTTTAGAAGGCTTAATTTGAATTCCAGCCAGAAGGTGGTTCGGGGCGAACTGCACTCCACAACGGCTCACATGACCCCATTTCGTGGGCGGGGGGCTATATCGATGCATTAGCGCCATAAATCAAATGGCACTACACTATCATAGGCGATGAACAACTCGAAATCACGGCCAGAAATACCCTTCAATTGATATTGCGACTGTTGTTGTCATTTTTGTTTTTTTTTTATTGGCCCCACTCCCCCAGGCTACCTCCTACCCCCCAACGCCGATTAATATTAGCAAAGCAAAGCAAAGCGCGGCAGTTGTCGTCCCTCCTAATCACATGATAAGCATTTACCATAATTTCCACATTCGTTGTCTGACACCTCCAACCCATACCCATACCCATACCCATTCCCATTCCGATTCCGATTCCAATTCCCATACCCTTCTGTCTTCAGTCTTCTGGGCTCTGCGATTTCTAATGTCCGCTGAGGAGCTTTTGGGGTGCGGCGATAGGAAAATCAATTTAATAATACCCCAGCACGTAAGAAGCGTCAACCCATTTTATTTACAATTAGGTGTCTACCCCACCTAACCCACCCACCGACCCACCATGTCCCCCAATCCTCCTCAACCACCAACCCCCTTTACTTGTGTTCTGAGCAGCTTAAGTGATTTGGGGCGCCTCCTTAGCTAGCTGATAGCAGTGCCATCGGTAAGGCAAGAGACGAAACCACCGAACCACCTTACCTAGAACACCACCGAAAGAACCTCAGACATTATCTTTTACAGTTGGGAGACAAAGCAGTATCTATGAACACTTAATACGCCATACCCCTTGGCCAACTCATCGCGTTTCTATTTCTGATTCCGTTTCTGTTTCTGTTGGGTAAATTCAATTTTAATCGCCATAAGCTGATGGTGTCGCTGCCTATCAGGGACTATCTATTTATCGCCTTCGATTCGTAGCACTGCGGCACTGGCTGTTAATATCAGCACCGGGTATCAGTCCCAGGTTCTATATCGTAATAGCCAATTTTGGACTCGCAACCGCACTGCCTACGGTCGCACATTTATGGCTAAGTAAATCCCGGCACTTGAAGCCGCCCAACCCTCCCGGGTTGCCTCTCGCCCTCCGGTCCGGTAATACCCCCTTACATTACCCCTTATTTTGTTTTTGATTTTTTGTCCGGCCGGCCGGCGACTGTGATTTTTATGACAGCCGCTTAGTGACCGGCGGGCGGATGGACTCTGGGACTCGGGGGTCTTAGTGCAGCTACTGTTGACAGTCGCTCAGTGCAAACCCCACTCCAAGGTTGCCCCCACTAATCCCCGGCAATTCGCTCTGATTTCCCGCTTGGGGAAAAGCCTGATGATCGATTCCATTACTTTTTATTCAGGTGTTATGCCAGCGAGTCGCTTGAAGATGGACACGTTCAAGATATAAGTGTCATGTTTGAAACAGGGATTACGAACTTGTATCTAAAAGATTGCCTTCATTACAAAACAGAATCAGACTTGATATCGATGAACTGGAAAGCACTTTATTTATAATTCATTTGTTTACCAATCAACCCGAAAAGTTAATTAAGTTTCTCTTCTTACTTATGTCCTTTACAGGTTACCCTCTCACAGATTTGTCGAAGCTCCCACCAGAACACCTACGCCCTGCCCGGAGGCGAGATCTCCGATGAGCTGCGCCGCAAGTTCGACCAGTGGTGGTCCAACCAACTCTCCCCCCAAGCGGCTGCCATGGCACCCAAGATGTTACCCTTCATGACCGGTCCTTCGCCAGTTCCGGTTCCAGTGGCAGTGCCCGGCGAGATGGACTTCCCGGTGGGCACAGCCATGGCGGCCGCAGCCGCTGCTGCTGCCCATGCCGCCGCTGCCGGAGGAGCCGCTGGAAACAATCCTCTGGGATCGATGGGCAGTCGGGAGAGCCTGCTGTTGGCCAACGAGGCAGCCCATCACCCTGTGGGTGGACCGGCTCCAGGTTCTGGTCACCACGGCAACATGCTAGTGCACCCTATGCACGCCTCCATGCACCACCACCACCATCACGGCGGCAGTGGCCATGGCCCCCAGTATCCTAACCAGAAGACACGCATGCGCACTAGCTTTGATCCGGAAATGGAACTGCCGAAGCTACAGAAGTGGTTTGCCGAGAACCCCCATCCCTCGCGCCAGCAGATCCAAACCTACGTGGTGCAGCTCAACGCCCTGGAGTCTCGCCGTGGCAGGAAGCCTCTGGATGTAAACAACGTGGTGTACTGGTTCAAGAACGCCCGTGCTGCCCAAAAGCGGGCGGAGATGCGGGGCGGAAGCTTGGGCAGTGCCATGAGTGCTCTGGGCCATGCCGCCATGAACGGCTATCTGAGCCAGCACGCTCCCTTGGGCCAGAACTCCAGCAGCAGTGCCGGGAGCCAGCCCATGAGCATGGGCAACTTGTCCATGTCCCACGATTATCTGAAGAGCCCGCTCAGCTTAAAGTCCGAGGACATAGACACCATGTCCCAGCACTCGGACGACATGGAGGAGGAGCAGAGCCGGCCAAACACCCCGCAACTTCCCTTGTCTCTAACCACCCACGAGCGCCATCGTAGCTCTCCTTTGATGGATGACGATGAGGAGGAAGCCGCGGAGCAGCCACAACTCCAGCAGCAGGGCGAGGCCAAGAGCGATGGCATGAATGGAAGCTTGAACGAGGAGGAGCGCCAGGAGAAGCCGCGCGATGAGCTCCAGGACAACGACAAAGAAGGCTCCGGCGCCGAGGATCGTCAACAGGACTCCGATGCCCAAATCGATGCCGCCTCCAACCTGAGTGGCAGCCACAACAATAACAGCCACCACAACAACAACAGCAGCTCGCACAACCAGAGCCACAATGACCAGGATGTCAGCTCCACGCCCAAACGCACTACGCCAAAGGAGGAGGATGACGACCTGGACATGGACGAGGACGAGGAGGACAACGAAAATGATGCAAGCCATTTGGACGAGTTCCGTTCGCCCTCACCCGATATGCCGGGTGGCGTGGCGCCGCACAAGGATCAGCTGCCATTTCCCATGGTGCCCAACTCGATGTTCTCCCAGTCCTTTATGTACATGAGCCACTACATCCCGGCCTTTGGCCAGGCGGCGGCAGGACATCCGCATCATCATGCCGCAGCCGCAGCTGCTGCCGCCGGAATCCAACCCAACGCCTTGATGGGCGGCGGTGGCCTCAACCTGTCCAGCATCTCAAACGAGGAGCGAAGGAAGAGGAACCGCACCTTTATTGATCCGGTCACCGAGGTGCCCAAGCTGGAGCAATGGTTTGCCATGAACACACATCCCTCGCACAACCTAATCCTCAAGTACACCGAGGATCTCAATACTATGCCTTATAGGTGAGTTATTCTTCTTTCGTTTTTAATAATTAAGATGGTTTTAAGTTCATATTTTTATTCTTAAATTTAACTAAAGTATTATATTTTGTTAATGTTATTTTTATTTTTGTTTTTTCTTGTAATCTTTCAGGCAAAAGTTCCCGCGTCTGGAGAGCAAAAATGTGCAGTTCTGGTTCAAGAATCGCCGGGCCAAATGCAAACGCCTCAAGATGTCGCTCTACGATAGCAACCAATGCGCCCAACTGGGTGGACTGGGATCCTTTGTCCCCAAGTATGAGGAAAGGGACTAGAGAGAAGACACCTATCCAGAGTTTGAAATCAAAATTAGCAGCATTTTTTTTTGTAAATAGTGAACCAAGAATGAAAACACAGACACACACACACCCAATTAAAGCAGGTTGATTCATCAACTGCAGATATGACAAATACTATACCAATATTATATACGATAGATGATAAAATATACAATTCTCTAGTTTAGCCCACTCTAAGTATTATGAAAATCAGAACTACTAACCCAGTTATGCGTTACCAGTTGGCCGGAGGAGCGTCTAGCGAAAATTAGAGAAAATATTACAAATAATAAGATCTTTGCATGAACCAGTATGACTATTTTATAGCTAAGAGAGAACTTTAATCCTAGAAACTCTTGGCATCTATTTCTATCTAGCTCGTAGTGATGTCGAATCGATGTAGAGGTATTCGATATCTTAAGCATAAGCAAACCAAAGAGAGCCAATTTTCGAGAATATAATGTATATAATGTATGTTATCCCTAGGTACGCATTCTTGAGCATTGTGAATTTTGTTCGGTTTTAGTTGCATTTGAATCGGCAGTTTAGGTTACCGTTTAAGTTTTAGTTATCCTGCCTTATTTGAAATAATAAAAATTACCCATCCAAGCCTAGCACATATCCTGACCCGCTCCCTTGGAAAACTAGCACACGGAATTCGCATATATAGAATGTATAACATACGATTCGTTGCTTTCGATGTCTTGGTATCTAATACCGAGCCCCCCCCTTAAAAGCTCAGCTGGCCAATCGGCGGCGATTTGGCTTAAACCCTCCGTTGCTCTCCATTTTCCTGCAAAACGTTTCGAATGAAGCACCTTGACAAGCTAAAACCATAAACTGAAATACGAAAATGTTTTATAAATTGTTCCATTAGTTTCGTAAGCCTTCAGATAGAGAATAAAAATTAAATAATATTGTAATTTATTGCAAGCAAGCGCATCCATAACAGCGACACAACTCACAAGTAATACACAAAACAGACATGAACATCCACACATCTTTATATATAATATAAATAGAAATATATTCCCCAGCAATTATTAAATGATTAAATAAATACAATTTTAAATGTCAAATCTAAGAAGAGTCTTTTTTATTCAAAGGAGATGGGTTGGGAAAGGATATAGTTCCTAAAAGAAAAGGATTCTTCGAACCATCTGTACTTCCTTTAAACAACATTAAAATCTCATCAATATTTTTCTTAAAAACTGGACAGACTCCAAGAGAAGAAATGGTTGTGAGGTATCTTAGATATTATTTATTTTTTTTGATGCCTCGAAGCTAATGTGCTGCTGCTGCAGTCGTAATGGCTTCGGCAATTCCTCATATGTGCTCTACATTGCTTTATTTCTTTCTTGGTTTTTGCCTTTTTGTACATTTTGGTAAGTCAACTGATAAGCAAAGGGGAAATAAATATGCATACGGACCGAGAGCGAACGAAAAAATGGCAATATGAGCAGCACATTTAGCTTCGTTTCACGGGGCGTATGAGTTATCTGCCGTGGACTCCCTCCCCAACATCTTGGCCGCAGATACGAAACAATTTATTAGCACCAAAGTTTACTTATTTTCATTTCTTTATTTCGTTCGCCTTTGTTACATCCCGCAGACACATACCGAGAGATATGTAGCAAAGAAATACCATTTTTTCCAAGGGGGTTGTGGCTTCCGTGCGGTTACTAAATCAGCGCACAACATTATTTCTTATTTTAAGTACACACACACACATGGGTTGTGCGGGTGGATGCGGCAGGGGATGTGCATCATTTGTTATCGCCAACTTTTAAATTAAAATTGTGGTAAGGAGTGAGCTGCAGAACAAATTTATGGCATATCTTTGGGCCACAGCATATTGGCCATGGCTGCTTATTTATGGATTTCCTAATAAAGTGCGAGACTGTTGCATACTTCTGGGCTAAAATATGAACTGCCAGCCAAAGAGAGAGATCACTTGAAAGGAATATGAATATAATTCCAGAAACATTCCCCCCTTTACAACATAAATATTTGCGGGAAAATATTTAATTCCTGGCCAAAACAAGAGCTTGTACTTCTGACCAAAGCCCTTGGCAGAACAGAGGGATGTATGGTAGGTAGAGCATTCCGCATAACTTTATCCATTAATTAAAATTGCTAGCACTCTGCACCGCTCTGTGGTTGGCTCACGAATGAAATTGCAGCCACGCCCCAGCTCCTCCCATCGCCCTTCTAGGGGGCATTAAATGTAAATATACATAAACAGGAGCCGAAGCTGAAAAGAAAACATTTACATAGTTAACTACGCCGCACTTGCCACTTGCGGCTCTTGGCCGAACTTTCGTGGTGGCTCAAAGGTGGGCTGCTTGCCAGAGTGGCAGCATAAATCTTGCTTTCCAAAACTTTTTCATATTGCCTTAATAACGCCAAATGGGGAATAAATCTGAATAATGCAATCATAATTAAGTGATGCTCGCAACTCCACAAAGATAAATAACTCCAACTAAGACTCCTCTATCGAAATCAACCAAAGAAGCAAATACCCATCAAAGACAAATTTCTTAGCGGCAATTAGAGTACACAAAAACAAGGACCAGTCCAATGAAAGCCAGTGCCAAAAAGGACAACAAAGACCTGGGCGGTGGGGGGAGTGGCCGAAAAGGACATAAATAGTTTTGCGGCTTTGACTGATATGCGGGGCAATAAAACTAATGAGCGTGCGAGCCAAAATAGTTGACAGTGGTTTTGGTTTCGGCTTCGGTTTCGGTATGGTGGTGGCTTCTTTGGTGTGCCATTGCTGTACTACATTTTTCTACCCTGCCCCACTGCCAGGGTGGTTTTTGGCGGCGATTCATTTGCCAAATTGAGTGCGCAAACAAACCGTAACGAAAGTCAAATGAATATAACGCAAGTCCAATTAAATGGTCATAAGTAATAATAATTCCGCTTTGATTTGTGACATTCACTTTACACGGCGAGCGAGGAGAAAAAGTGCGAGGGGTTTCAGTTTCCACTTTGCTAGACATCTTTATTTTGCACTTGGCCAAATTAGTTAATGAGAAGCCATTCCAAAATATGGGAAAAGAGCAAGCCAGGGTTCTGCGAAAGGTAATAAATCGTATTCGCTTCTTAAAGGATAAAACCTAAATCTTGAGTTAATGAATTATCGAATAAATGTACTGCTATACGTATATTAACATTTGATAAATGTAATTTTGAGGATTAATATTAAAAGCTATATTTACCATCTTGCAATCGATCCCCAAACGGAACAACATGTATAAATCAGGACTCTAATCCACTTCAATATGCGTCAAAGGATAAAAAAATATCTTTAAAAAATTTTTTTTGAGAACTTAAGGAAAAAACTATGATTTTTGTGTCTATGTTTTGATGAAAAATAAAGCTACTTAAAGTTCTAAATACGAGAAAGTGAAACATTTGTGGATCTGACGAATAATAAGGAATTATGAACAAATTATGAACATTATGAACAAAAATCTTTTGATGTACTTTTTAATGAATATTTTGTAACCTTCAAATGTGATCCAATAACAGACAACAGTTTATAAATCAGTACTCAAATCGGGTTCAAACTGTATCAAAAGGCAAACAAAAATTATCAAAAAAATGTTTGAACAAATTTTGGCTAAAATCATGATGAATCATCCCCCTTTGACCCCTTTAAAAAATTGCGCAAAATTGGTCAAAATTGTTGTCTCCAGGTTTTGATTGGAAAAGATGCTACTCTGAGTTCTAAAGGCGGGAATGTATAACATTTGTGGATCTGACAAGTATTAGCCAAGTTATAAATATTTCTATATGGAAAAAAGTCAAAAATTGGAAAAAGAGTTTTTAATATTTTTTATGTGGCCAAAATCCAAACTTTTGATGCACTTTTTAGTGAATATTTTGGCATATTCTCAAGCTACCTGACAACGAAATGCCATTTATAAATCAGGACTCTAATCACTTGTAATCTGCATCAAAACATAGCAAAAATTGTACAGCAAAAATTTTTGTCAAATTTTGTCTAAAATCATGATGTTACATGTTACACCTTTCAAAAATTGAAAAAAATGGGCCAACATTTTTGTTGCTTTTTTTTTGCGAAAAATTTAGCTACTCAAAGTTTAAAGATTGGGAAGGTATAACATTTGTAGATCTGAAAAGTATTAGGAAAGTTATGCATATTTTTCCTAACCGAAAATGGAAAACTTGGAACAGCCTTTTCCTTATTAATATTTGGCCAAAATCCATATTTTTGGTCCCGTTTATAGTGAATATTTAAGATAGTTTGCAAGCGATTTAAAAAAGAAATACCACTTATGAATCAGGACTCAAATTCGGTTCAAGCAGCATTAAAAGATGTAAAAAAATATACAACAAAATTTTTGGTTAAATTTTGACAAAAATGATTTTGGCTCATGATTTTGGCCAAAAACCCACCCAAAATTGTATTGTTCTACTTTGCACATCTTTTGATGCAGATCGGAGGAGATTAGATCCCTGCTTCATAAATGGTATTCCATTTTCGAATCTGATGAGGATTAGTTAAAATATTCGCTAAAAACTGTCTTAAAAGTTCAAAGTTTTGAAAAATAAATAATATAAAAACCCATAAATAGAAACCTTCCCGATCGTGGAATTCCAAGTTGCATCATTTTCAATCATAATCTAGATTCTAGAAACAAATATTGTTCGCAATTTTTCAAAGGGGTAACATCATGATTTTTGTCAAAATCTGACAAAAAAATTTTCTGTGTTATTTTTTTTGTGGTCTCTTGATGCAGTTTGAACCTGATTCGAGTCCTGAATAATAAGTGGTATTTGTTTTTGGAATCGCTTGCTAAAGGATTTAAATATTCACTAAAAAGTACATTAAAAGTTAAAATTTTTCAAATAATGGATATCAAACTTTTTGAGTAATAAGCCATCTATATCTTTTATAACTGTAACTGTTAACTTAAATTTCCCCTCATCTATTAATTTTGTGGGCCTAAAGTAGTTTGTAGCTTTCCTTACTTACGGCCATTAAAAGATAATTATAATAGTTAGGCCAGAAGTGTGCCATGAATTGGGGTCTAAGCTGGGGTCCAAGGGAATGGAAGCTGGGTCAGTAGCAGATACTTTCGTATCAAGATATTGCGTAAGGATATGACAAGGGGGGCTTAAGAGGACACGTACGAAGGAGAAGGGGTGGCAGCAGGACCTTTACCACCCCAACATCCTGCTGCCTGCATTGGGCGATTATTATTTATTATCTTAATTATGTCTTAAAATCCTCTGTGAAGCGGGACAAGCACCTGCCTAGGAGAAGAAAATGCGAGGGCAGACAGCACCCCTGCCTGGGTCTTGGTCCTGTATCCTGGCTCATGTGCTCCTTTTCGGTCCTGTCCTGTTTGGAAAAGTATTTGCGCGGAAAATTCCCCATCGGATGAGTGTGTGTGTGTGGGTGTTTGTAGAAGCTTCGCACATGCTACCACTCTAAGCCTTTCCTTGTCGTGTCTTGTCTTTTTGGCACCTTATCCTGCTGGCTGCATCCTCCCACATCCTTTGCACATCCTCCCCCCGCCGTCAACTGTCGTTTGTCTTGGGCGCGTAATAAAAAGACTTAACAACGCGAGTTGTTTAATTATTATTTATGACACTCCTCGGCTCAGACCGAGACCGAGACCGAGATTATTGCCCAAAAAATTGTTGCTCCAGAGATTCCAGAAGTTAGATTCCAGCTTGGTTTGATTTACCGCCTAGGCTGTTAGGAGTCCTCCGTTCTTGGTGCGACTATTTAAATCAATTGCGGATTCACTCGCCTCCCAGCACTCGCTTCGGCTTTCCCAAGCCAACGAGCTCAATCTCAATTCATTTTCATAAAATCCAAAAACTTTTACTCTGCCGTAATTTACGATGATAATTATGGCAACTGCGAATTACCCCCCAGGGAGGCTAAGCCAAGGCCGACCAAGGCCTCCCACGGCCTCACCTACTGGGCGGCAGCAACAGCCACAAAAAAAATGTAAAAATGATAATCCTATTGTCAGGCGATAATTCAAAAGTTTTATTCCATTTTTCGGGACTGCCCATCGTCCAAGGATCAACTGGAAGGTAAAGAAAATATATTAACATAAAGTAGGTTAGGAAAACGGCATTTTCTGTATAAATATTAAAGATTAATTGGATGATTTTATTTCATAAAAGTCATGTTTTCTTTCCTACTTGCTTTCGTGTTTTTGGTAAGAGTGGCGGCTGAGACTAAGCCCTGGGAATGAATTATGCTTTTAATTGGAAACGCTTGGCGCCAAACACTTTCTGCTGATGCCGAGATGGCGTTGCCAAAAAAGATTTGCTCATTAAACCGCCGAAGGACTTTCTCGCCCTCCTCCCACCTCCTCCACACGCCCCTTAACGTTTTCGAATGTCGGCTGGTGGTGCGCCGCAGGTATAAATTTCATAAAACTAATACGAATTGATTTATGGCATTCTTTGCTGGCCTGGCGAAAGGCTTGCCTCCATCCGAGGACTTCTTGGTTTTTTAAGCCCCCGCCCCCACCGCCTGGCAGCTACTTTCTCCGGCTCCTTGGAGATGGCTACGGTTCCAGTCTGGCTTTTTAAATCTCGCCCAACCCCCGAGGTGGTCGGATGGAGCTGTGCTATCAGTAGCTGGCATTTGCTCTGGAGTTGGTCTTTGTCTAAATCTTTGCCTGCTGTCAGAGGAAGAAAGTTTTCGTTTTTGGCACAAGGTGAACTCTACCTCCACCTCCACCTCCGCCCACCGGGCACCGTGCACCCCTTTTTTGGAACTGCGGGAGGGTGAGTTCTCGGTTGGCGCGTCTTAAGCTTATAATTCATAAAGCATTTAAGTGGACGAAAATCGAAATTTATTGCTATTCAAGATATTTGCTGTGGAACGCTGGCTAAAAATCTAGAATGGCAAGCATTAAATGGGAATGTCTTTGGTTTAAGACTTGCCACCCATCGCCCCAACCCCCTGACATTTTTCTCCCCCATCCGACATAACTGAATAATAAATATAATTGTCTATAAGGCAATTCCTCTGGCTAAGGGTATGCAAATTGCGGGGGTCTGCTTTATCACCAGTGCTACCCCGCCCTTAGCCAGAGTTTCATGTTTGTGTATCAAAAATGTGGTAGTCCTTGTGACGTATCGTCCTGCAGATAGAAGCAAATTGTTTCTCCCCAACCACTGACATCGAAATAAACATTCGTACTTACTGGGCGCTAAGGCATAAAAATATAATCAAAGCCCGGAAAGGAAGGTCGTTCTGTGTGTGGGCGTGTGTTTGATGCGAGAATGTGTGGCCCAAATTTCATTCTGATGAGTCCGATTAGAAGGAGTCATAATGGCGAGGATATCTTTACGACATCTGAGGAAATGCTAAGCTGGCAAGCTAGCAGGATGCCGATGGTCGTCTCGTGTCCATTTCCCAGGCGCCACGACTTCCGTTTCAAGTTTTTTCCTTCATTTTTTTTTCTCTTCACCTGAATTCGCATTTTATTTTATCAGTTGCCTCTGGCAGATGGACAGCTGGGTGGTTGGGTGGCTGGGTGGAGTGCTTATCTCGCGACACCGCAGCTGTCATTCAACTTAACTTTAACTTTGACTGCACTCCGGGTGGTGTCCTGCGGTGTCCCGCCTGTCCTCCGACTTAGCGCTCAGAAAATAAATAAAAAGCACTTCATTTCTTATTAAAAAATCGCTAGAAATTGCCCAATAAAACGTCGGCGAAGGCCGCCAGCTCTAAGTCAGCCCCAGATTAGACGGGAGAAACGCAAAATCAAAACCAAAATCAATCCATTAACAAAAGCACACAAAGGACGAGCGCTAAAGTCCTTGGACCGTGCGGCATTAACTTGTGATTTCAACTGTGCGAATTCCCAACGCCGGCAATGACTTTGCATCGCAGCGGCCGCTAATTATCCCACGAAAAGTGGGCGACAGGACACAAGGACACACGGGGCGTGGCATGACAAAAGGCGTCTCGGCAACAAAGCCGTTGCGCTTCATTAAAACGGCAAGGACACAGCCGGCGGGAGAAAGTGAGAGATTGTAAGCAGGATGTTCGGCAGGGAGCAGGGGGCAGTGGGGCAGCGCATCCCTGCTCATTATCCTGTGCAGTTATCCGCCAAAGCGTTGCGTGTGGCAACCGAGTTCAAAATTCGACTCCACAATAACTCTGCCGAATTCAATAGTGAAAAGTTTTGAAAAAAAGCATTGGCAATGGGTGGGTGGTTGGGTGAGGATGGTGGTATCCTGACAAGCTTATCAGTCCTGGCATTACGCTGACTTATGCATTCTACAGCGAGCTCTTTGTCTGCCTCCGCCTCCTGCCCGCGATTTCCAGCCCTCACCCCTTAAATTATATTCTTGTACTTCCATCGTCGCTAACCATTTAAAATCGTTTGCTTTTCGGAGGTTTCTGGAGGTTGCCCTTTGACCCTCCACCCCGTAATCAAGCTAAAAACATGTGGCTGTCAACACGTCAGCACGGCAAGTCCTTGATTTTGTTTTCCTGTTTTTTTTTTTTTATTTATTTAGTCCTTGTGAAGATGAGTTGCTTTTCATTTTTTTTATTTCACACTGCATCTTTATAGCACTGTCGTCTGAGGCGTCGTTTCTGTTTTGCTCACGCTTCATTACAATAAATCCGGTTACGGATGTCTGCAGGTCGCTCCTGTTCCTGCTACTGCTGGTGTTGCACTCCGGCCGCATCCTTCATCGGGAATGAGTAATTTTAATGCCCTATCAGCAACTGTCTGCCTCGTGTCTCCGTGAATCAGAACACTTGCTGCAGTTGCACTTCATCGGTTTGCCAGAAAGTTGTTTCTTTCTTAAACGACTACCACTTTGTGTGTTGTATCTTTTGGATGGATTATTTGTTGACATGTTTACTTTTCAAATTTTAACAATTATTTAATGGTTAAGAGGGCTTTTAAATCTTTAGTATTTTTCTTGCTGCACTAACCAACACCGAGCTCCGACCCGGGAAACTACCATTTGAACGCTTCTCCACACTTGCCATCCCCATTTCCCCATGCCCCACGGTGGCTTATCAGCGGGTTATCTTATCAGGCGCCGTGGAAGCCGATGCCGAATGCCCGTCGTAAGCGGCCAGCAGGTGAGTAATTTTCCTGACTCGGTCAGTATTAGAAAGGCAGTTGCGCGTTGATCGCATACATTCAGGAAATCGCACAATCGTACGCCCTGGAATTTCAAAAACTTTGGACTGACAATTGTAAAATGCTGAGGGCGTGGCTGCACTGGAGTGGCGGTCAACTTCTACAATCCTCGATCAAGTTTTGAGAACTTCCTTTCCTTTCCGGGCATACTGGCGTAGTGTTTACATAGACCCGTTTTGTTTTCGGTTACGGTGCTCCAGTTTTTTTTTCGACTTTGTGGCAGATAAGATAAGTCGATTGCAGTTCGAAAGGCGTTTAGTTCGAGGCACACAAAATCCAACAGGTGAATAGTCTGTGATGTCACTAGCCCCCAGGAATCGACGCAATTTTAAACTGCGTTTAACCAAAAGCCCAGAGACAACAAAATAATTTCAGCTGATAAGTCGTTAATGAAAAGGCCTGCGCATTAAAGTATATATATTCATATTCCTTGCAGATATGGGGTTGTTTTGGTTGCTCGCTACCCTCCTACCCTGCCTGATCTCCACCGCCTGGGCTGTCAACTGCCCCTTCCCGTGTCGGTGCATCTGGATAGTGGACAGTCTGTATGCGGACTGCTCGAAGAGAGCCCTCCAGACTTTCCCCGACTTCGAAGGCATTCCGGTGGAGCACCTAGACTTGTCGGGCAATCAGTTCGCAGAGTTCCCAACCCAGTATGCGGACATTGACTCGCTGATCTACTTGGATCTGTCCAACAACCACATCTCCACTGTTGGTGCAAGATCGCTTATTGGCTATGGCTCGTTGATAACCCTGAAGCTGGCCAACAACTCGATAATGTCCTGGGAGGATCTGAGTCCCAATGAGGCATTCAAATCGACCCCCAAACTGAAACGACTCAGCCTGCAAGGCAACCAACTGGGTAACTTTGGAACCGGCGAGAGCTTCGAGTTGCTGAAGAGCCTTTCCCTCACGGAACTGGACATATCCTCCTGCGGAATAAGCAAGCTGGGAGGCGACCAACTCATCAATCAGTTGCCAAACTTGGAGCAACTGAGACTGGCTAACAATAAGATCGATGCTCTGGCAAGCCTTCCCTCCCACAGCTTGCGATTCTTGGACCTGAGCAACTGCAGCATCAAATCGCTAACCGAGATCTTCCTCGACTCGGTGGGCAGCTTGGAGGTCCTCAACCTATCCCGCAACACGGAGCTAAAGTTTGGGGACTCGGATGTGGGACCAGTCTTTGCCACCTCTCTTCGAAGGTTGGATGTCTCCTATTGTAATCTGGACAGCATCGAACTGAGTGGCTTGCCTCAGCTCTCGGAGGTTCGTTTGCGGGGCAATCTTCTAAGGGAACTGAATTCGGGAACATTTGCCAACAACTCCATGCTGGAGGTTCTTGATCTTTCGGAGAATGTGCTCCGCCTTATTGGCCAGGATGCCTTCACCAACTTGAAGAGGCTGAAGGAGCTGAACTTGGCCTTCAACGAGATAGCTCGTTTGGATCGGAACTTCATTCGGAACAACGATGCGCTGGTGGAGCTGAATCTTAGCCGTAATGTTCTGCGGAAGTTGACCAAAATAGTATCTAACTCTGTGAGGACCATTAACATGAGCTGGTGCGAAATCACTTCGATAGAAAGCTCGGCCTTGTCGAGTCTCTCGGCCATCCTGAGGTTGGATTTGTCCAACAACCTCATCAGTGATATTCCGTCTTTTATGAGATCCGAGACACTCCAGGAGCTTAATCTTGGCAATTGCAGGTATAAAGGGATATGAATCCTCTTTAAAGAGCATTGATTAACCTTTATTTGTTTTCAGAATATCCACCATTAGAAACAATACTTTCCGGGACTTTCCAGAACTAGCTAATCTTCATTTAAATGGAAATCGTCTGACCAGTCCTATCCCGCCACTCTATTTCCGCGGCAACAAGTTTCTAGATCAGTTATGGATGGGCGATAATCCCTGGATATGCGACTGCCACAACCCACTCTTTGTGGAGTTCTACGACTATCTCACTTCAAAGCCAGCAAAGGTGAGTTTTAGGATTCTTAAATGAGAATAATTAAATAAATTTTGATTCCCCCCCAGATCAAAGACAAAAATCACCTGCGGTGTGGTGCTCCTGCCATTTTCTATGGAAAGCTCTGGGAGTTCGCCTGTGCCGATGTATGGATTGTGAATGCCAGGAGCAGTAGTGGTGGAGAAAAGGCCTGGGGTATCATCATGGTAACCCTGATTGGAATAGGTGCTCTAATCCTGGCCTATGCCTGTCTACAGAAGCATCTAAGAAAGCGGAAAATAAGGCAGGACAATAGGGAGTACTCCGAGAATGATGAGGAACTACAACGCATGTAAGATGGACATATGTTTATATGATATTCTTGTTTTCACAATTATTATTCTGTAGACGACACCTCAATAGTCGGATTCTGCTGGAGGACGCAACTCCCAGCATCCACCAGAACCAGGAGATAAGTCTGCTGCCTTCCTACGAAGATGCCTTGAGAATGCCCAAGCTGGAAAGGCCAGTAAAGTCCATGCTGGATCTTTCGGGTCCAGAAAGAGCCCGCAACTCCCGAAAGCTAAGACGTTCCCAAACCCATCCCGATGGCGATGGCTCTCAGTCGGACATGGAGGAAGGGCTCCAGCTGGACTCCCGCCAGAGGTTCCGCAGTGCCGAAATGCTGTCCAACCGGGACAAGGAGAGACGGGCCCAGTACGGACCCTACCGGCGCACTGGGTACATGGAGTACAATCAGTCGGGCAGCCGGCGCTTGAGCATCGAGGATTCCCGCTTCCCGGCAGCCCATCTCAAGTCCCAGAATCTGCAGAGTGCCGAGCAGATTGGCAACTTCCAGAGCTACGAAAACAGTCCCTACACGAAACGCAAGCCAAAGATAGCGGAGATACCGCCCTTCAAGCGGGTCAACATGATGGCCGAAAGTGTGGAGTTCCTCACGGATCCGGAGTACGAGGATCTGGGCAGCAAGCCGGGCAGTCCGTTTGCCAAACGGAAGCCCAAGCCACCACTGCCCCCGCCCAATGCCTCCATGAAGGTCAACGCCCAGGTCTACACGGTGCAGCACTCGCCAGTCATTGAGCTGGATCCTGCCATCGAGGACTACTTTAGTGCCGCCAAGAAACAGGCTTCGTCCTCGACCATCGCCAGTGAATTCCAGGAGCTGTTGGAGCCGGAACTTACCTCGCTGCCGGATGACAATCGTTCTAGTGCCTCCGGCGGTGGTACGGAGCACGACTTGGAACGCGGACGGCGCAAGAAGCGCCGGAATTCGGCCAGCCGGCGGGTTAGCGGCAGTTTTACGGCGGATCGGGCGGCGGACAACTCATCCAGCGACTCGGAGCACAGGGCTCAGGTGCATCGGCCCATGCGAGAGACTCTGTTTTAGGATTATCCATTTCATTTGATTACCATCCCAGATACATGTTATCCATAACCCATAAGATTATTTAAAAGCCCTACGAAACGAATGCCAAATTAAAACGAAATATTAACAATTTTATTTTAGATATTTGATTCAATGATTTAAATTTTTTTAAATTTTAAATTGTGGCGCTTTCTTGGCAAAAGAGGCTGGCAACTCTAATAAAAAATGGTTTGAAACTTGGATGTGTTGTGGCGCCATCTGTGGAAAGGTAGACGCGTTATTACCCTCACCTACAGTGGAATTAGTTCCTAGATCTTTGGGATTAATAACCAATAACTACTTTATACTAAACCCCTTTACTTTTATAAATTTTGCCAAAAATTTCAATAAAATGCAACACAAAAATAAATCCGTTTAAAAAGTCGCTCGCATTTAATGAATTAACACAATATAATTTCACAAGAGCATGATCTTAAGTAGTTTACAGTATATAGATAGGATATAAAAGTACATATACACAGATGCAGATTGAAAGCATTATTCAAAATATACTTGATATTTTAGTTATTTCTCTTCCACTCCTCTGTCGTCGCTTCAGTTAAACCATTAATTTTCATTCCACTCGAAAGTCGCGGGCAGGCAATCGCCGCTTCACATTTTAATATGCATATATTTTTTAACTTTGGTATTATACTAGATTTATGCTTATGTTTAATTAATTTACTTAATTCTAAACACTACTACTCGGTTACACTTAAGAGGGGGAGCGGGTGGTAACTTAAATCGAATAGTTTTCTGTCGTCGTGGCCTTGTTGGTTTTTGTTGCAGGTTCTAACTGTTGCAGGTTGCAGGATTTTGCTGTTGCAGATTATGATATACATCCCTATGTCGGATTTCTAGTATCAAACAAGGAGGATTCAAGGACTGTGTGGAGAGTTGATGGCTGGCTCGATGGCGCTTGGCGCGGGCCTCCCGCACATCAGTGGCCATTGATGGTCTGGTGGGTGGGTTCGATGGGTCGCAACGGGGTGGTGATGATGTCCCCGGCATTCGATTTGCTGCGCGTCACCAGCATCGGAGTCTTCGGCTTGGGGGTCTCTGTCAGCTTGATCTTGACGCGACCCGTTTCCGGGGAGTAGACTGGAGAATAGCGACCCGATTTCGGGGACGAGGGCAAGTAGGCAGCGTCCGGTTCGTTGTTGTTCTGCTCGGCGGGCTGCTGGTGCTGGGCGTACTTGGAGGCTCGTGGCGATTGGGGGGTGGGATAGCGCGGACTGATGGGGTAGTACTCATGGGCAGCGGGCTCATTTACTTCCGGAGCATCCTTGGCGCCGCCGTTGGCCGCTCCATTGCCGTTCAGCAATGGCTGCTGACCAGCTCCGTCCTTGGAATCGCCGTTCTCGTAGGGCTTCTTCACGATCTGGGCCTCGTCCAGCTTGGTCTTCTCGCCGATCAGCGGCGAGTGCTCCTGGCCGTTGCCGTGGCCGTTCTTGTGCAGCGGCTTGCCCAGCTGCTTCTTGTCCATGTCGAGCAGCTCCGTCTGGCGCTGTGCCTCTGCATCCCTTTGGGCCGCATTGCTGTCGTACTTGCAGCGCTTGATGGCCACGAACAGGATCAGTCCCACCACAATCAGGCCGATCACTGCCAGCAGGTAGTAGATGGCGTTGCTGTCATCAGACTGCTTGCCCATGCTGGCGGTCTTGATGTCATCGGACTCGTTGTCGTCGCTAAGTGGACCATCGGTGACCACCTCCGACTTGACATCGCTGGTGTCCAGTTTCGTCTGCACCACCGGCACTACCACCTCCTCCTCAACGGGCTTTGGCTCCTCTTGGCCATTCTCCCAGATGCCCATGCCCTTGAAGTCGTCATCCGGTTGAGCCACCGGCTTGCTATCTTCGGGTTCGTCTGACTTTTCCTCCTCCTGGGATTCATTGTCGGCCTCATTGTCCTCTGGAGAAATGGGCACCTTGAAACCAACGGGTATGACAATCGGGCCTGCGCCGCTGCCGGAGCCTTCAGTCTCATCGGAGGGGTCGTTATTCTCATCTTCCTCGACTTCCGGGACTTCAACAGCTACGTCGTCAAGTTGAGCCGCAGCCGCCACGGGTTCCTCTGTTTGAATAGCTGGGGCCCGAAGTTCCATGTTGGTTTGGGTGATGTCCCCAGAACCCTCGACCAGGTCGCCGGGCAAAGGTTCCTGCGGAGATCGCACCTTCTTGGATGTGGCCGCTAGACTGCCGCTCTCCAGCAGCATAAAGGACTTGCCTAACTCTTCTTCCTCCTCGTGCTCCGCGGAAGTGTCCACCGGCTGGTCTCCCATCATCAGCTCGTTCTCGTCCGCCCCCTGGATATAGGTCTGGTGGTGCTCCTTTTGGCAGATCTCCTCCTGCTTAAGCTGTAGCCAGGAGCGACCCTTGTAGCCCAGCGGATAGCTGCAGACCACCGGGTGCTCCATGTAGACCAGGCGCTCCACCAACCAGTTGCGCACCTCCAGCGTCTGGCACGAGCAGTTGATGGCATTGTGGCTCAGCTCCACCTGTCGCAACTGGCTCATGTGGGTCAGCTCCAGGGGCAGGTAGGTGATGTTGTTGTGCTGCAGGTTGAGGACCTGCAGGTGCTGCGGCAGCTTCTTCAGCTTCTCCGACGTGATCTCGTTGTGCTTCAGATTCAATCGCTTCAGGCGCTTGCTCAGGTGGCCGAACTCCTGCAGTCGGTTGTGCGACAGGTCGACGGAGGTCAGGTCGGGCAGCTTGTCCAGCACATGACCCAAGCGGGTGAGGTTCAGGCCCGACAGGTCAATGGAGTGCATGGGTATCGCCGACTGGAAGGCCTTCTCCGCCACCTTCAGGCCGTGGGTGCTGTTACACTTCAGGTGGTACAGTGGCTTGTGTGTGTGCTGCGACAGGGTGCAGCTACAGTCGGCTGGGCAGTCGGAGGCGGATGCGGGGGAACGGGCAGGGGTGGCAGTGGCGGCCACGCACAGAAGGAGCAGGGCCAGCCAGGCGGACAGATTTTTGTGCTCCATGGCTGAGGCTTTGTGGGTGGGTGGGTGATGTGCTGGCAGTGGATCCTTCAAACTTCCTCACTGAGATCTCTGAGCGTCTTATCTGAAAGGCAATTAAGATATACGATTTTTTTTAGATAAAAAGCTATTACACAAATTATACAATTGTACTATTTTTAGTTAACAATTATTTTGGAACTCTAATAGAGGCTGGTCTAGTAATCTTTCCCTGGCAACCTGTCTTCGTCATTTGTTGCGTCATCCCTCTCTCCTTCTAACGTCTTCAGCTCCACACCCATTGCTTTTCCCACCGATATCGTTATCGGTGTTAAGTTCCCTTATCAACGCTGTTCAGGCCCAAGTATTTGACGCTATCTGCCCGGTGGGTAATTAATGTTTCATTTCATAGTTTTCTGCTAAACAGTTCCGTGACATCAGCAGCTAACCATTGCCCACCTGACCACCCACTCATCCATCCACCTATCGGCAACGTGAAGCTTCGGGAAAGTGTGAGTCAGTCTACGGAAGATACATATCGCCGCAAATGAAGATTCATGTGCATCTAGTGTGGGGTTAGAGCCTTGAGCAATGGATGCACTCGGCTAATCAGAACAGATTGTCAGCGGTCCGCTTTTAATCCCCAATCGCACAAATATATTCCGTATATATATGCGGCTTGTTTTCCATGAGCCACGCAAACTGATTGACGGCTGTCTCGTGGATGCTATTTAAGTGCAACTGGCGCTCGTTTAGAGCCCCCATGTTCCTACCCCTGACTGCCCGCTCTCAGTGATAAGCCCTGAGACTCTGACCGCAATAAAAAAAAACCTCTTACTCACAGAAAAAAAAGCACATTTCCCAAAATTTGTTATCAAATTCTTGTTTCAAAAATATCCACAATTGTTAAATGAGTAATAATTAGTATTTTTTATTAAAATGTGTTTCTTGCTTCTTGCATTTCTTGCTTAAGATTTCTCTCTGTGTGACGCAGCTGCAGTGCCCAGTCCTAATCATCAGATACTAGGCTAGAATATCTGGAAAAGATGCCGAGTTGTCTGAGTGGCCGAGATGCAGTCTAGAGCGATTGCAGCTCAATTTGCAATTTGTAGCACGGCGCACTTGAATTATTCAACAGTTGGACTATATTTTGCATGCAAGTAGCAGCCTGGAATTGCCACCGATTGGCAACCGGCAACTGTTTGCGAAATGAAACCCCTCGGGTGGGGTGGGGGTGGTATGAACTTGCAAGGGTTGCACGTGTCCCGCAGCGGGGTGGAAAGCTCAACTTGCAGATCGGCAGCTGCCTCATCGCAAATAATTAAGGGATCTGAGCCGAAAATGCCAACTGGAAATGAGGCGTCACACGAGGCCAGAAGCATGTAAATTGAAATCTCTGAGGAATCCCGCTGGTGCTGTTGCTGGTGCTGTTCACAAAGGGGGGAGCCCCAAGGTCAGTGTCATTATGGCTGCCGTTCGTCCGTAAACAGAGACGACACATGAAAAGTGGTTTCCAGCAATTGTGTCACTTCTTTTGGCTAAACAGGCACCACCACCATCAGCAGATGTCTTCTTTTGGCTTCGGTGTTGACAAATTGCTTGGACTTGGACACATAAATGGAACTTTCACCATACTACAGGCCACTGCCTGCATTTGTATACATATGCAGTACGTATGCTTTCGGATGGGGAGGCATACATTTATCAAAATCTGTCAATTGCTAAATTCGTAATTTGCAGCTGCCACCTGTTGCCAAATGGCCAAATGCAATCAATGTGGTTAATTGCCTTTAGCTAAAATCTGGCACTTGGATCTCAGATTTCAGATTCCAGAGCTGCTGATATGCTGATATCATAATTCGATCACGAGGCATGGTTAATTACTTTTGCCAGACGACCCTCCTCCTCCTCCTCCACCGATTAGCACTTTGATGTTATGGCGACAGGAAGCCAAAATTAGTCCGGGTGGGAAGGGGTTATTGTGGGGGAGCCGGTCGATCCGCCAAATGCCACTTAATGGCGAATGTGAAACCAACTTAGAATAAAGCGTTTGCAAATTGAACAAAATCAGCGCCAGACAACGGCGAAAGTCTTAAACGATGACAAATGTTTAACCTTGACAGAGTCAGAGGGCGATGCGAGGGGAAGACTGGTGCGGAGAACAATCTTGAGCTTCTGTCTTCGAGTTCAAATGCAAAGATAGCCCCTCGAATCTCCAGTTAGACCTCAACAAAAAAATCCCCACAAACAACTCGTTCTTTCACACTCACAACCACAACAAAAAAAGAAAGAAACACAAATTTGAGCAAATTTTTGAAAAAAAATTAAATCACGTCATGCTGCTATGGCGATCGCTTGCAAAATAAATTGTTATATATTTATATTTTTAGATTTGTGCAAATCTTTTTTATACATTTCAATTAGTTTGTGCCCGGCAAGAGCCATCCATTGTGTGGTTGTTCCCCCAACAACGATGATAAAATTGAAAGTGTTTATTTGGGCCTTTGTTTGGCCATATGCAAATACAAAAAAATATATGAATATAAACTGGCAGAGAAAGCGGCATGCAGCCCAGATTTGGTTCTATCCACTGAGTGTCTAGTATCTAGTCTGTAGCCTCCCTAGTATGTACTTTTCTATTGAACCAGCTTTTTGCATTTTCTCTCTGGTGCTGCTATTATGAAAAAAAATCATCATGGAAGAAAAAACAAAATAACTGATGACGCCAGGCAATTAAAACATCAGGTGATTTCAGTATTTCTGCCTGGCCAAGAAAAGAAAAAAAAAAAAAACTAAAAGCCAAACTGAGTGGAGCCGCGGCAAACGGTAATGTGTTGGCCGCATTAAGACAACAAAACGCAAAACGGCAAGAAAAGATGCGAAATGGGGGAAAAAATCGCCAAAGCCAAGAGGAGATGACGTCTGGGGCTTATGACTCAAGCCATCAGATTTGGCCAAAACGGGCTAGGCTCTCTGCCATTCACAACAATCCATTCAAAGGCGGCAACGACTGAACGTCACTTGGCCCCCGAACCAATGGGCTAATTAGCATATTCTAATTTCTGACCGACTCCGATCGATGCCTGACAGCTTGAAATGCAAAAATTATATACATATGAGATGACCCAGTTTGCCGTCAACATTATCAATAAAGTGCCATTTAAGCATTTCGCAATTGCAACTGTTCAATCAAAAGCCAATGAGCCTAAACTCAGCCGTAACCTGAAAAACTCTTTCCCACTGCCACTCCAAGCCAAACCAAACCATTCCAAGTTCCAGTTCACGTTCTCTTTCGCTTTGGTTACCTCTAGAGAGCTACATACTCCAGTGTTTAATTGATTTCCACGAAACGGGAGAAAACCAATCACCGGGGAACGGCCACGGGCCCGGTCCAGGCCTGCATAACCAAAATATGTATGAATATGAGCACCCAAAAATCCGTTAAGAAGGGGAAAAAGTGCAGAGCGTAAGCTGAAATTATGTGAATTATGCAAAACGTGTTGGCCACAAAGCAACCGAAAGTCGCACAATCAGGTAGAGTCAATGTACCAGATACCATACCAGCCCAAACCCCAATTATAAAAGTCTCTATGCCCGGCGTTACGTATACGACCCATAGACCATTGTTCCAACAGATAATCTCATGTGGCAAGCAAACGCACAATTTTATACTTGAACTTGACCTACGAAATCAGAAACTCATGAGACTTCTACACAGCCGGATTGCCGACTATAATTATCAGTTTAATTCGGCCGATTTTTTTGTTTTGCGCCTTTGGGCAGCCAGCCAGAATACCAGAATAGTGGCGGGGAACTGAGGGCGCACAGAAATTCTTGACATTCAAATACTTGGATCTCCCTCTCGAATTTACCGCTGATCTGGGGCACACTGTGGCACGGAATTCTCAAAATAAACAGAGACCAGAGAAAGGCAGGAGTCTTAAAAATACACTCTAGTTATGTTTTTCTTACTTTTTGTGGGACTTCCTCTTGCAATCCTATGCAAACATGGGACACCTACGCCAAACATTCAAATCTTAGCCACCCACTACAAGATATAGATATATCTGATGATGGACTTGAATGTCGACGAGTGTTGGGCCTGATTAGTGCCAAACGCCATTTCGAATGAGTGTTTCTGTCACGGCGAGAAGGTGGCGACACTGATCATGAGGGATTGGCTGAGAAAATCGGAAAGAAAAGCCGAAAAACTGAATGAATTTTCTCTTCACAAGCAACTGATTTTGTTGCTAAGATGCTGGGCTACTAGTTTGATTAGAAAACATCTTAGTAGCCGGCTTAAAGTTGATTGATTAATTAGTAATTGCCGCGTCAGGTTCTCCAGTTGGCGAAAAGGAAACGCATTGATGCCCAAGGTTGACTTTTCATTGAACTTTTGTGGCATTCAATTAGAAACACGTTAATTTAGTCTCAGTTTCTACACAGCAGCACACCGATCAATGCCTTATAATTGTTTTAGCTTTATCAATAACAAGTTTCCCCCACCCTCCACGCCAGGCTCAGAGATCAAATCAGCTCTCGGCGGGGAATCGCGCCACGTTGCCATAATTAGCTAACTCGAGCTGTAGCCACAATGTTATGTCTGGGAAGTAACCCCAGATACAGATACTACAGGGGGATACTTGTGTTTGTGCATACTAATAGTCGAGTTAAATAAATATCCACACTCTTGTTAATTGGCGAAAAACGACAGAAATAAAATTGAAAAAAATAAAAACCCATGCAGATCGTTATGTTCTGGAGGAGAGCGAGAGTCATGAGTTTCAGGTTCGGCATCGGCATCGGATGATGCAATTGGCAACCAAAGTCGTATTTTGGCTAGAAATTTGACCAAATTAACGCACTTGTGTGTGGGTTGAGTGGTTTATGTGTGTTTTTTTTTCGCAATGAACTGAATTCGCTGAAATACATTCGTGGGCCGACCTTCCGTCGAGCGAATTGCATCCCATTAACATTGTCAACTGCCTGACTGCCCGACTGCTTCCGATTAAACTGGAACTTTGCAAAATCGAAAAATGAAACGCAAATCGAAAAATTAGTCACTGCTCGAGGTGAGTGGAAATTTATTCGGATATCCAGGCAGTTCTATAAATCCTCAAGTCGCACCATAAAAGATCAGTTGAAAGATTCAGAGAACAATTCGCTGTCTAGCCAAAAGGCATTTCTGTTGTCCTATTTCTGTTGAATGCCATAAATGCCAAGACGACGCCTCTAGAAGCTGGAAATTATTTGCCAATCTGCACCTGCGAGATGCATTCCACCCGGCTGGTGCCATGTCGGCATCTCTGAAATCCCCCGATCTCTGGCCTATGTTTAGACTGCACTTCCCGGGTTCAAGTTCAGGCCATTTAAACGGTTTCAAATAGCATACTATACACAATCGTTAGTAAACAAGTGACAGTGATACTGACAGTGATCGGTCGGAAAGGAATCTTGGATGCAATTAAGACAATAATTGACTCCCCACTGTCGACTACATTTAATGACTCGAATTTCGCATTATTTGTCGATTTGTGAATGGAATTCCTAGGAAATGTGAAAAGTCAATTCGCCAAAAAGGTGTTGCGTTGAAAATACTGACTCAAACGGGTCGGATGATGTCATAGACAACATTTGCCGAAATAATTTACTAGAATTACGTCACTAAAATGGCCAGAAAAGGTAAAATAGAAAGCCCAAATATGAATATGAAAATGCCAATTGTGAGACATCATCGTTCGTTCTTTGATTTATTGAAATTGATTTAACTTTAAAGGCCTTAAGGTAAAATAAAATTATAAAGATAATATGACAAGGACAAGGTGTGGAGAATTCAAGGAGTCTTTTTCAGTGTATAATTTGGCCCGAGGCTGCGATTCAAGAGCAAGTTTTGACCTTCCCAGAAGCTGCTCACGCAGTACAGTGTAATTACAGCCCGGAACCCATTCCCACTTGCACAGAAGGCGGCTGGCAGGAGATATGGCCACTTGGACTGGGGGACCGACTGGGGAACAAATTAGCCTGCGGTTAGCCGTGAATGTGGATGCATCCGAAAGATCGCATGATCGTCCAGCCGTTTTTCATGGCTTCGTTTGCCAGCAGTTGGCAGTTGACACGTTAAGAGCACGCACGTTTTGCCGGCCATTTAAGTGCCTCAGCATCGTCATCTTGGCCATTGCCACTGGCCAGGAGATGGAGATAAGCCGTGGAGAGGGGAATTGCCTGCCGAACGGCGAGCGGCATTTGACAGTTATGACCACTTGTTTTATTTTTAGAGCCAAAAAAGGCTAGGCGAGTTGGCCAAAAGCAAAGCCGGCCGGCACCCACAGACTGGCTAAAACACACACAAAACGACAAAACAGCAAGAAACAAGCTGAAAGCGAACCAGTTTGCTTCGTGATGATGACGCCGCCAAATGACTCTCAAGCCCAGTTATAGCCCCCCACCAAAAAAAAAAAAAAAAACAAGAAAAAGCCCCCCATGTGCCTTGCCGTGATCTTGAATGGTTTTGTTTTTGGTTACTTTTTGGAGGGAATGCTCGCACAACTTAATTTTCGGACCGTCTTACCTTCTATAAGACATGCATACGATCGATCCGAGATCCAGGCCAGTCAGAGCTGCAATAAGATAGACATAGAAATGGGTGTGTGTTAAATAGAGTATTTCAATATCTGTGATTCGAGAGTGCACATTCGAGTGACTTGCAATAAGAGTTTTCTATTTATCTGGTAATTATTTCTTGGCTTTGATTTTAATTGTGGGCAATTAAAGCCTTAATTGCCCGCCCGTCTAAATTCACTTTTAACGAACTTTGCTACAGAGTCGTTCGTCTGTCACTCATTCGGCAGATAGTGTTGCAGCTGCAACTGCAACTACGACTGGGACTGGACTGCCTTTTGTTATTAATTTCAATCCTCTACAATCCTTGACTAATCTTAATTGCCGTCCATCGCCAGTGAAGTGTGAAAGTTTCGCCCAAAAAAAATAAAAAAACGAGTGGCTATGAAAACGAAAATGTTTAATCAAATTTGCTCAGACTCTGGCTCAGGGTCAAGCGAGTTCATTCCGTCGTCAAGGTGAAGAATTTTACGGCTTCTTTTAACTAAAAATATCATAGGCTAATCGCAGCTGGCTCTTAGTTGGACAATAAACACTTTTTTTTTTTCTCTCAGGGCGTATCTCTTCCATTGTTAGTCACAAAGTTCTCTAAAAGTCAGAGCCAACAACCTGTTGCCAGTTGCCTGATTGCTATGCAATGGACGTGACCGAAAATACTGTCACGTAATCGGCCAACTCCCACAGAAGTGTGGCCGATGTTTGGTGAATGGATCGGAGCCCAGTGTCTGGACCCTCGTGGGACAATAGGCATCAAGCCCATAGCCGAGGTCGTTGCTCACCATATTTATTCAAATTAGCTGCTATTGATGACCTGATCGAGTTAGTTGGCAGATGCTAAACTTTGGAATCAATCCAAAGGTACCACCTGCAAGCCATCTAGAAAATAACAGATGTCGATATGCTAAAGATCTCTTTAATATAACTATTTCGATCAATTGTTTATTCGCCTTTGATAAACAATTTTCTCGACCATTCTGCGTCACAGGGCTCCCTCAGTGCGATCCCTCAGAAGTACTATCCATATGCCCAGTGCGGAATTCCTTTCCTTTCGTTCCATGAAGCTTTTCACACTATCTATGCGGCGGGGCCTTATCTAATCGCTCGACATTTGCTAATTATAGATAGACCAAGCCCCAAAAACAACAAAAGCCACTACCCATAGTCATGTGCACTTGAGCCCGAGGGGATTTCTGGCATTCATTTGCGTTTGACAAAATTTTGGGCCTACTCCCGGGCCTATCCAAGTGCTGGAATGCATTTCTAGCTCCATAATTTTTTGTGTTTTGTTGCCCAATGATATTGTTTTGATTGTGGCTCGATAACAGCTTGTTTCTCCTTATCGAAACACATTTGTTGCTCATCCAATGCTTTCATAGCAGCTATATCTAATGGGGACAAGGTTGACACATCCATCAAAAATGGGACCATGAAGTGCACACAAAACTTCTATAAAAAAAAAAAAAACTCGATGGAGCTCGATGATGACTGCACTCGCTGGGGAGCAGACGCCTTGAAATTTGAATCGACTCGAAACGGAGAACTGCGAAAATCGAAACCCCAGACGCAAGGCGCCAATTTCCAATAATCATACAACTAATTGGAGAATCGAGCGAGCAGAAACTCTTAACAATTTTGAACTTGAAACAGGGGGAAACTGAACTCTGTATCAAAACAGAATCATAATTTCACTCCAGGGAATCGAGAGGAAGTTTCATTAGGGTACTGGCCCCTAATAGGTCTCTAAAGAGTTGGCAATCTACTCCATTCGTTTTGGGAATTCGTATCCACAACATTAGCACCCACCGACTAAGCTTTTTGCTTGGCTGGGCCCCCGAGTTATTGGCCATAAAGCCGATTTCTGGAAATTGACTGAAAAACAGTTTCCAGTTCGCACTCGCACACCTCTGTGAATTATGCGCTGGAAATTAGCACCTTTGGCTTTTGAGAGGGAGCCAATGTTAGTTGGGTCTTACGTAAGAGCCCCAGAGTCGGAGTCGTAGCCGGAGTTTATAGCTTCACTGAGAGATGGGCGTTCCACCTTCGCAATTTCCCCCCCATAATCCCAGATCACTCTTCATTCCCTCTGACTCTCTGACTATTTCCCTATCTGTTGGTTGATTGATAATCTCATTAGTCGATGACGTTGCATGACTCTTTGCTTTTAGATCTGACAAGCAACAGTTTGTATTATTAATATTCCTTTTCGTATACATCGATTTCGTGGCCAAATGATTCACCTGATGTGGGTGCTAGCGCTGGCCTTAGTAGACACTCTAAATGCGACCGCGAACGCAACGGGAAATGTCGGAAAGTGGAAAAGAATATAGCCCCGATCGCTATCCTATCCATATCTGGATGATTCAACTTGGCTGCCGTGTGCGGTTTCCAATGGTTTTACGTAAACGATTCCAAATTGCAGGGCACCGAAAGCTCGCCGGTTCGAGGGGTTTACTATACACACATCTACGACTACTAGAGGTACGAACTGGTACACTCACAAGTATTATGTACATGGGATCGACGAGGGGTAGGGCTTGGGGTGGCTATATGGCCATATGAGTAGGTAGTAGGTAGCCGAGATTTCACATGAATGCGTGCTGCTGCTGCGACGGCTGCTGCCTCTCTCGAAATAAGTTTGCAATGGCCGGTTACCATAAGTGCCCTTGCCAGTGCCCGGGGGGGTTAAAAGAGTAACCGTTTTATTATATTTTACTCATCCCTTTTTGTATCTTTCTTACTCTGATTTTTTTGGCAGTTGTATAACTTGGATGGGTTGGGAAATAAGGTCAAGTTTGCCACAAAAAGCCCAGCCGCAATGCAAGTCATAAAGAAACACATTCGAATTTAAGCAAGTTTTGTTGAAACGAAATACCCTGAACCCTGGTATACTATACCCAGACAACATTTATTAGGGGAATGGCCAAGAAATAAAATTAAGTTAAAAATACTAAAAATAGGCTTATCAGAAACCAGACTTGAAGACAACACACACTCACGCCACACCGAAAATTTATGATAATTTGCACTGATTTTCGTGGCTGTCTTTTATGATTATTTCTAGAGCACTTTTGTTTGATCAGATACGAGTTTATTTTGCACAATTTAATGCGTAAGTACACGTTATTTTTTTGAATTTTGTTTGCACCGAGCTTGGATGTCTTTTGTTCTGAAGAGTCCTTAAACGACACGATTCGGATCCGATCCGAGGTCTTGCGATCTGAAATGGCGTACAGAGACTGCCACGAGATATCAGAGAATGGGTCGCAGCCGCCGCCAAAAAGACAACCACAGAAAGCACAGATACAAGATGAAAACCAGCAGATACAAAAATTCTGAAAAAAAAAACAAAAACTGAAACTGAAATGGGAAAGAGCACCCGAAAATATCCGAGAGGGATGTTGACAATGAGGCGCAGAGACCCAAGAGCAGCCGGAGGCATCAAACAGAGCGCGTCGCAAACAATTTAGTTTCGTCAACTAACGAATGCAAGTATCTTGATAGGCTGGCGTTTTGATTTCGATTCTGATGTTACTTTTTTCCGAAAGAATTTTGTTTAATGGTCGGGTCGGTGTCGGTGTGCGTGTGGTGTGCGTGTGTGGAAACGGAAACTGTATAATTTTTAATTACCTAAACAGGGGGGATGAGGGTGCAGAGGTTGGACGTTGAAAGCGGTACGGTACGGTTCAAGTTTCGCGCACACACGTCTCGACACTCTGGAGTTGCGGGTCCGAACGAAATAAAGCTCGATACCTGGCGATCGGCTGGCAAATATTTCAACCGGAGATCGTGGATCGCAGAACGGAGACCGGATTCAGACACGACCGTACCCAACGAGAGCTTGATACCGAATGGCCGGGCAGAGCCTCTGGAAACCCATGTCGAGCGATAAACTTCATTGCAGCGAACTGGAAGAGAGTGAGCCAACTAAAGCTAACGGGGAAAGAGATGTTAGCCAAAAAGACCCCGCGCGCGAGAGAGAGAGTACCTGAGGGGAACACGTGGATAATCAGAGGCACACGCGCCCCAGAACGCATACTATATTGTTTGGGTTATGAAATACATTGGCAAAAGCTTCTCGAACCCGGAGCGGGAGATCAATTGGGAGAGTGGACAGCGTGGAGAGAGATTGGGAGCAAAAGCTTATCACATGGGGCTCGTTATCAATTGATGAGTTTGCTTAGCGATTGGGTTAGTGCGAAAAAAAGAAAGAACTACTAATTGAACCCACGATTTGCCATCTCTTTTTTATTTGTTTTACAACGTTAGCGAATTTCCATTTCCGGCTGTAAGGTAAAACCAGTCAAAAATAATACACACCTTTCGAATATATGTATATGTATGTACCTTTAAAACACACACTCGTTTCAGTTAGTTTATCAAAGAACTTGGGCCATATCTTATCAGTTTTTGGCATATTCTTTTCCGTTTACTTGTCTCCGACATTATACGATAAACTTTTCTCTTTTTCGTCAGACTGCCGTCTCGTTTTGGCAACAGCTAATTAACTTTTTGAGGTAACTCCAGGTAACTCACCTCCATCTTCAAGCTCCAAGAAACTCCACGTAACTCCATCCCACAAAAGACTAGAGACTAATGCGTGGGTGGGCCTTTGTTTACGTTTTATTGGGTTTGTGGGTCAAAGTTAATGTTCGCTCGTGAATGAATCGAGTGAACTTCGAGCAGCCCACGATCGCAATTACCAATTTCTTGATACGAAAGCTAGATACGAAAATACATACATTTCTAGAGACATACATAGTACATATGTATGTATGTATATGTGGCAGGGAACTGAGTGGCAAAACTTGTGTTAATACCAATGTTAAATATTTGATTTTGATTTTTTCTTATCGCTATCGGTCGGCACATTTGGCTTGTTTGTTCTCGATGGTTGGTGCGGCTGGTGATATCACCCCTCTCCATTTAAAGATCCCTCCTCTTGAGGCCATCGGCTTCTGAAAATCGCCCTTTTGCTTATTTTACGCAATAGCCCTCTTGTTAATTAAACGGATTTCCATTCTAGATGTTTCAGAAGAGAAGGTTGGGCTGGAACAACATCATTATCTCACTGGCAAAGTATTCGCACCGGTACACCCCCAGACTTTTCAGGAGGTTTACAGACTAGGCGATGCCGTTTTATATTACCCAATTCATACATAATGTTGGCCAACATCTGCTGGTTCTACTTCCCATTAAACCATTCGCAGGGAATACATTGTTAATATGAAGTCTATATGGCTGTTTACATCTCTTCGTTTACTGGGTATTCGTCGGATCGAAAATAAAGTATCCGCCTGTTTATGGCCCGATACTTTTCACGGGCATTCTGCCGCCTTTGTTTATCGGACTCGTCCCACCTGCCGGAGAGACTGTGGCAATCCTCTCCAGCTCGCGTATACGTCAATCGATCGGAAGTGTCCAACGCCCCAAGACGCTGCCGAGCTGATAAAGGTTGTGTGAATGGGTTTCTGTTTTGGCAATGGCCAAAATTTTAATTGCAAATCGGCCCGGCCTTGTCAGAACCGGGAGAGCCAAGAACTGACGTCAGACCTTTGCCAATAGCTGATCGTGGGCGATCGATCGGATGTGGAATGAGTGTGTTTGTGGGAATATATTGTATACCAGGCACTAGATTGGCTCCAAACCTGAAAGCTGAGCTAACAGAAGAGCTGGAGCTTAGCGGCGCCTTGTTCTAGTGTTTGTCTCGAGCTCTCGATTGTTTGGCCAACGATCTATTTACCCACTAATTATATTACATATTCTATTCCAGCGAAAGCCCTTTGCTTACGCAATCGAGTGTGAGGAGGAGGAGGCGGATGCGTCATCCAGTTCATCAATTCGGGAACCGTATGAACGATGGAAACACTCGACGAAAATTGGTTCTGTTTCGTGATTAGATAGTCGTGATATTTATTAATAACATTAGCCCTCTCGCCTGACAAATACATATATATATATATATCACTTCTCACCTTAAACGACCAAGAATCGGCGTTGGACAATCAGCTGGCAACTGGCGGAAAGTTATGCAATTTCCAGAATCAGAATCGAAGAGACTGTTTGTTTGTTCAGTGGCACCGGGGAAAACCTTTCAATAAACTTCTCAAGGTGAAGGCCTAGGCTTCTCTGAAAAAGTGCTCTCACACACCTGCACTAAAGACTAGTACCTGGAGCTGGGAGGGGGGTGTTGACTTAATTGATTAGAGCACATGACTAAGTTAGTTAGGGGCCTTAATGCAGAGATACTTTTCGGCCTGACACTCTTGACAATGAGATTAATATTAATTTTTTTGATAAATATTGATATGATATCTTTATTGAGTGGTTAGTGGGTGTGTGCATTACCAATTAATTACGCTCCGAATGCGAAACTTATGCAACATCTTCTGTGGAAAAGTTCTGTGTGGCAGAGCTATGAATCTAAGCAAATGAGAAACAATGCGAAACCCTGGGCCGTCAGTCCGGACTGACCCACATTGTGGAGTTTCATTTTCTTTGACTCACTGACAGAGTGACAAAGTGACTGACTAGGCGAGAGTTCCACAATGGATCCCCCCAATAAATGGGTGGGGGTGGAAGGAGGGGGACAAAATGAGCTGCAATGAACCGGAAATTCACAATTAACCACCCACTCCCCGGCACCCCGAACGTGTTTCATAACTAAACTGCATCTGCATTTGGGAGTCGACTCCGTCTACAAATCCACGGGGTGCAGTACTTGGATTCGAGTCGGAATCCAAATCGAAATCGTATATGGAGATCTCACGTTCCGGCTCATTGATCGCTGGACATATTTTGATTTCGGTTCAGCCTAGGTGTAATTTTCAGATGCCTTCTTTGGACCTCGAAAAAAAATTGAATAAACAAACTAAAAAACAGTGGTCGGGCATTTTAATCGTTTGTACGTGTTGTTCTATAAAGGCTTGTTTGCGTTTCTGGCCAAAAAGACGGCGGCAACGTGATTACCATTTCGGTTCGGGTTAAATCAAGCTAGGCGCCCTTTTTAGGGTCGCAGCGAATACAGTTACTGGGAGGGTTCATTGGATTCCGCGTTTCACACTCAAAACAAACAATAAAAAAATATATATACATGTATATATTGTATTTATGATATCATGTAAATGCATTGCGGCTTAAATATAGATAACTGTAGTTTCACTTTTTCGGCTGAGCCCATTCCTAGAATGGAATGGGTACGGGGATTGGATGGATGGGGTCTACTCCGGGGTCTAGGAACGTGACTGGCTTAGTCATCATAACCAATTGGGTTATTGAATATTATGTTTCTTTTTTTTATATCTTAAGGATAGTTTGACAAATACTCCCAACACTGATTTATTAGACAAACTCCGGGCTTACTCTCTCCGGGCTTAATCATGCTGTTGCCTCCATAAACGATAACAATTTTTCAGACTAAGCCCCGGCACTGGGACGTTGCGAGTGCAACCGGCAAATGGCATTCGCAGGTGGTCGCTAATCAACGTAATCAACTTGCAACAAGCTCGTTAGGCGTAGCAGACGCAGCTTCAGTATCAACTTCATGGTAATCAGGCCACCAAGTTCTAGCCAACTATCGTCGGGATGCGGGGAAATGGCAGGGATCCAGCTCTAACCAAATTGGTCGCGGTTTTCCCTCTCACTCGCTGAAGCTGTGCACTTTCAACAATTTCTGTATTATTTTCATAAACGATATGTATCTTAACAGAACCTACCTGAAATACTCACCCAAAATAGGTGTAAATGGGAGGAAAGTCCCTCAATTAGCATTCGAGAGATAACGCCGTAAGCCTAAATGACCTTTTTCGAAGGTAATAACCGCCATAAACAATAACCACAAACTAATAGAAAGTGTCATAAATTAGGGTCCCATTATTATATTACCTTTATCTTCTATTCCTATAGATAATAATAATAGCAGAGTACATTTATTTCTCTCTGTGCTAACAGGTTTCTTTTAGCCTTCAGCACCTTGTCTAGGCTGTGAGCCAAACTTTACCGTTCGACCATTTAGCTGGGTCAAGGTCATCCTCCTCCCATGATTTCGGTTCCTGGATGAGAATTCGTTTCGATGTTGGCTGCAATTGGGGGAGACTACCAACGACCGGGCGGCAATTTTATTGCAATGCCAGGCACGCACAAATCAACTAGTCGCCTTCCATCGCCATCAACCATCCACCATCTACCATCCACCAACCATAAAGCATCATCCTCAATCCCCATCGTGTCCATCTGCAGCGATCAGATACTCGGATGCTCCAGAGATCGAGCAGCGCCCAAGTGGCGGCCTGTTGCTGCATTTGGTGCTGGCATTGCAGACAGCGTTCCTCATTGATTTTCGTTTCGTTTTCGATTTGCTGAGATATTATTCAAGCCCATGACAGTGGCGTAACTCCAAAGGGGGCTACAATTTTAAATCATAATGGTAAAACACCTAAAGCCATTAAATGGATGTAACCCTTAAAAGAGCTATTAAGTCATTAAGTCACATAGTCTAACCACTCCCCCAACCTCTCAGCCTGACACTCAGTGCAAATTCAGTTACAATTTTCGAACACAAAGCCGAGATTTTTCACAAGAAAATATTCATGTGAAGGCGAAAACTGCGCAGGCGCATGTTTTGTCAACTTGGCCAACAACGGTGGCTGGCTGGCAAAAAAGACAGCCAGACTTTCGGAGGCTGCGACTAAGGCTGGACCCGGTGCCCGTTGACGTTTGCGTGACAGCATCACAAAAAGCTGCAAAAACAACAATACAAACAGCATCCAGACGCCGTTTTGACCAGTTACCAATTTTGGCAGCAAGACTTTCATTTATTTGCGATTCGGTTTTGGCAGTTAAGGATCGCTTGGTCAAAAGGGTGCAATATCCCGACAATAATTGTATAAAAAAGTGTCGTTTTAAAATAAATGTTGCATATTTTTAGTAAAAGTTGTAATTTATTTGATATAGTTTTACTAACATTATTAAATAAAACATAAAAACCAAAAAAAAAAAGAGAAAAATACTGCTCTATGAATTTATGCATCAATTAGTATATTGCACCGCATATTATTCCACGGTTAAGCCAATCTTATGCTTTCCTAATAAAAAGTGAATTCTTCATTAAAATTTAAAATTTCAACTTCCAATTTTGAATTTCCAAAAGCTGCCAGACTTGGAGAATTATCTTATGCTGCCACATCTCTCAACTTTGAATCTGTTCTCATTTTTGTCGCTGCCACAAATTCTTACATTGTTGGACAATTTGTTTTTGTTTTTCTTACGTTTGATACGTTTACATGGCACAAAACTCAATTTCATTAGCAATTTGTATTTATTTTTCTTATTTTCTTCGAATTTTGTTCTGACAAGAGTGGGAATTCGTGGCAACGACAAAACTGAGAACAGAATTGAAATTCAAATATGTGGCCGCACATGAACCGCCACCTGGCGGAGACGTTTCAAATGTTGTTCATGTGGTTCGACTTTATCGAATAATAAAATTTAATTTATAGTTAAAACCAAGAAAAACTATTCAACTCAGTTTCAAAAATCCAGTTTAAAAGAGAAAATTTTTTTGAAAAAGAAAATTGGCAATTCCATAACCGTCTTTTCTATCAACTAAAAATTATTTAATCCAAGAAATCGATTAAGATTACATTCCCGCTACGAGTTTTATGACCATTTGGCGTCGTTTTTATGTCAAAAAATACAAATATAGCATACTCGATAAAACACATTCGATATTTAGGTAGAAAATGTAAATATCGATATGGGAAATCGAAAAACTGATATTTGGATATATCAACAACCCTAGTATTTAGCCGCGATCAGTTTTGATTCAAACTTCAACAGGTGTTGAACACGCGGTAGAAATCAAGTGCAAGAGTCGACGCAAAATCGGTAAATCAATCACAAGTCAGCGAGCTGAGCGAGCGGATTTAACGAGCACGTGATCAGCGCACTAATTAAAACTAATTTATCAATAAATCTAATTAAAAAATCTATGCCGGACACTAAAAACCCCCAACCAACCACGTGAAATCCATCCACTAAAGTTTGTGTGTTTCTTTTAGCGATTAAAACCAAAACTAGGATTAATACTCTTCCCATAGAGCCTGTTGTCTGCAAGCAGACCCGTCATAAGGTGAGTTACTTTTCGTCCGCGTATCCATGAGATACATTTTGAGGCATAGTTTGGGACTGTTTTTGAGGGATCTTTGGGATTTTCGAAGGAGGAGAAAAGTGCAGTCGGAGCGAGGGCTACGATTTCGTCACTTTGGAGAATGGGAGCGACAGGTACGACTCTATTGGCCCATTCGAGTAAAGCCAGGCAGAGCGAGTGAGACCACAGCTCTCTGGCAAGTATCTTTCCGTGGCTGAGAGTGTATGTATCGCTACCTGTGGCTCGTTACCTGCCGTATCTCGAAAATAAAATAAAAAACATACCGAAGCACTCTCACACACTGACAACTCGAGCTCAATGCAGCTGTACAATAGTATCTGTGTGAGCAGAGTATCTGGGTGTGTTGGTGTCGTGGTGACATATAAATTTCAAAGTTGAGTCGCAATTATCTGGATAAATTCAGTAAATACGAAAAAAAACGTCAAATCGAATTACTCCCACTTTTAATTATTCAATTAGCCTAGTACCACAATAATTTAAGCCAGGCTTAATCCAGGAAATATTAAAAAAAGGGGAGAATTATAAAAATGAAGCGGGGAATGTCAAACAGGCGGGGAAAACAGTTAAGATACAAGAGCTACAAACTCTGAGGTGCACTGAGGCAGATAAGCCTGCACCTGTGTGTGTGTGTGTGTGCGCGTGTGGGTAGAGTATCTGTGTGAGCCATTTGGGAAGGGGCGAGAGGGAAAGGGGTGGAATGAAACCGGTAATGCATTTACTCAAAAAAAAGAAGTCACCTTCATAACAAATTCAACGCTTTGACTGCAAAAAGCCCAACATGCTCAACTGTCACTCCGAGAGAGATAAATCTATATAGTTTAGGTCCGACCATGATCGTCGTTTGCATATATCATTCAACTCAATGAGGGGAGATGGGCAAACACGCAGCTCGAACAAATATTGGAAAAGCTGATCTCCCTCCACATAGACCCAGTTTTTCAGCTCGATTGCCCAGCCAAAGGTCGGCTGGGCTTACTTATGTATTTGTATTTCCAATATTTACCAATCTCACATAATCACATTTAAGAGCTTCCTGAAGTATCGGTTGGCCAATTAATCAAGCCAAGCACACGAACGATAACAGGCCCCAAAATATTCTCCAAAAATAAATTATTTATTTTTATTTCTATGCATAATTCAGAACCAGTTCCAATCGATTTTCAATTTTAATATCTCTGCCTTTATTTTATAACCATCTCCGGCCAAGCACGGACCTGGAATTTTAAATGTATACAAATAATTCACCGAGATCTGAGAGCAATAAACACAGACACAGTTCATTTGAGGGATTTGAGGTGCGACGCGTCGTGTCTCAATTTTCCAGACGTAATCAACCAGTTTCAACCGGGAGGAGTGTGCCCCGTGGATTCCTGGAAAACGATTTCGTATGCAAATTCGAGTCGGCTCTGGTATTGTTCTTGGATTAATTCCTTTCATATGCACATCTACCACATGAATACCACCGTGTATGGTGTGTCGCCAGTACGGGTTGGGAGCTGGGGGTATTGGGTAGTGGGGGGCATTATCTAATCGCGGCATAAGCCGGCCACACATTGGAACCTCCGTGTACCTATTTATACAGATAAAAAGCCAAAAGCAAACACATGCCAGTTGAGACTTTGACTCTCGTTTCAGCGGGGAGTTAATGAGGTCACAGCACTCTCTGGCTATGGCTATGGCTCTGCTCTAGCTGGTTTCATGGCTGGTAATTGGCCGGAGGTCTATTAGTGTTAGCCCCCCCGAGTAGTTCGACGTAGAGCTATCGTCTCTGATTCCGACTCCGCCGACCCGCCGTCCCGCCGTCCCGCCGTAGAGGGCGAATTATGAATACTTTTATGGGCAACCGGAGCTTTGGTTAAGTGCCCAGGCAAACATTTGCCAGCCAAGATCGTAGTATGTGTGCTAACCGGGCTTAAAGAGAGCTGTCTTACAAAGAACTTAAGTGTCGGCACATGCGGCGTATGCGTAATGTCGGTGCCTGGCTCACTGGCGCACTTAGAAACTTTGTTTTTGGCACATGATTGCCATGCAAAACTACAAAACAGACTATTTTGAGCGTTTTAACGATCCAGGTTTATTGTTTCAACTACTCTCCAAACAATGATGTCATTCGATTGAGATTTAGATCGTGGATCGGATCGGACCAGACCTGTATAGCTGGGTGGGGGAAATGCAACTCTCAGCTCAATTGAGCATGACGCTCGGCAGTCAATCGACTAACATATTTCGCGCCCACATTGCGTTGACATTTTACCTTAACCCTGAATCTAATCGATCAAGCCTGACAGAGAGATTGCAAAGGCATTAACATTAATCAATTTTTTGCCAATTCCATTATAGCTCCATAAAGCATTAGTCATGCAGAGGGACGGGTTGCCGGCTGTTTCGACAAATGAGGAAATGTTTTGGCCCTATTCTTGAGTGCAACTTTCTCCTCGTTTTGTACTCAAAGTACTCGAAACAGCTGGCAGTCGGTCGGTCCAGATCTGCTTTGGCCCAGACATAATTCAAGATCTCCGACTTAAGCCGATTCCATAGCGTTCAGGGTTCAGGGTCTCCGCCAGGGCCTGGCAATGGCTAATGAAATGCAGAGACTCTTGGCCCGAAATGACTCAGAGGAGTGTTTGTGCTTACGTGCCATCCGAGTGGTTTTGCGACTTGGAATGCCGCCTGCCAGTTGCAACTTGGCCACGTCGGCAGACACCCAAATTGCAAGACCAAAAATTCCTTAAATATTCATAGAGAGAGTGGAAATATGATAATGTTCTAGTTGAGGACAAGTAAACAAAAATCGCCGCCAGGCCTAGCCTGTTGTGACAGCCCAGATTAACGCCATTCAATTGTCGCGTTCTCCGAGTGCTGGCTACTTAGCACCTGACACCTAATAAATATATTATTGTCTCCAGGGATTGTCAACCCGCCCCTATAACCGATAACCCAATACGTGATGGCAAGTACCGACTTCGTCACAGTCTATTCCATATACATAGTATGGTGCCTTTGTTGGGAGGGAAACAAAGCCCCGGGTCGAGTACAAAGTTTTGCGTTGGAAAAGTCTATTTTAAATATCACACTTAGCTGGATAAACAAATCAGGTTTTCCTAAGCACACAATGAAAAGCACTTTTCAGATGGAAAAGTCGTGCCCCAGAGCCGAGCCTGAACTTTAAGCTGCGGAAGCTGCTGAAGTCGAGGTGAAAACTGAGCTGAAATCCGATCCAGATCCAGATATCGCTAATGAAGCAGCCACCGCCCTCGCCTTCTCGTGGTGGAGCCGGTTTTTTGTGGCTCCTTAAGTTCTTAATTTATGCCCTGCTTCCTGCTTCAGTATCAGGGCTATATATACGCTATATCGTTCGATCCGAACAAAGCGCAATTGCTGGCGGCGAGGAAGTTCGAATAAATATCCGATTCGAATGGCTGCTAATGGCTGAAATCAATTTAATTTCCCATTTTAATAACTGAGATCCCCCGGCAGGGACTTTACTCCCGATAACAATGCACTTTATCAGCGGAATAATTTGGCTGGACTGTTGATGTTTTAAGTACGATCGATCAATGGGGATTACTTTTCGATAAGTTATGTCCCTTTCGGGACAAGGTATTTCCTTTCATAACTTTCCAAACAACCGAATGGAAGAACCCAACAATTTTCCAAAGAAATTGGCCATAAAATTCTACTTGAAAATAATACTTAAAACCTCCGTCTGTTCGAGTAACCTTCTGAAAGTGATAATGGAGGCATTATATAGCCATTACATACTGCACATGCCGGCGCAGGAAAGTGTCACACTGATTAGCAGTTTGTCTGAAACTAATGACTTTATTTTGATTCTAAAACGCAATCATGATCGCACAGTTCAAGCAACTCTCAGCTCGTAATAGTATTACATGCCACACAACCTCATCTCACATGGAATGAGTGACTCTCTTTGGCAATGTTCGAGTGCGAAATGAATATGAACGAATTGAAATGGCTTTTAGCAAGAATTTTCGTAACTCGTAAAGACGTAAAGACATCTGCCTGACTTTTGGCCGCCACCGGGCTCTAAGTCGGCTCACACACAGCTGCTGGACGGTCGGTGGACGTCCAAAAACCAGTCTTGCCATCGTTTTCTTAGCCAACAGTTTCCCCCTTTTTCATTTTTTACGGCCACAAGAGTGAGCTTATGGTGTGTGTGGTCAAATGTCGGCGTTTTTTATACTTTTGTGTATGTTTTTATGTGCACGCCTTGGGCAATTTTGTCCATTGTACTCTGGTGTCTGCAAAAAAATTAACGTTGCAGAAATAATGTGCCAGAATGGCGTCAGCCGAATAGGATACAGTGCTGGGCGATATGGCAGGGAAATCGGATATCTGACCAGTTGGCCCGAAGGTGAACCAAAATCATGATCATCATAAAAACTCGTGATGCTAATGAATCGGTCAACAAATATGATTGAGTCGTGATGGCCAGATAATGCCGGTTGGATTCAGTTCGAACTCCGAAGCCACCCTAATGAAGGCATCAGCTGAGTTATTTCCGCCGGCAACCGCTCTTCCCAAGAATTCGCATCGATGTCCTTAAAAGGAGCAGCTGACGAGCAGATGAAGTCTTCTACCTACACCACTCGACGCTTCCTCTCTCTCCGGTTACACTTCCTGTTAACAAATGCTATTAATACCCAGACAGCTCGATCGTTATCCGCCTCCGCACGGACACGCACACTCAACCGGAGATTTGTAAATGTTTTGGGTATTTCTGGGTATTTAGCAGAGACACTTTTGTTCCGATCCAAAGCCAGAGTCAAGGCGAATCTACCTGAGGTTCATTAGCTGACCTTGCTGATCCCGTTTCTGTGTATAACGTATCCGAGATATCGCTCGAGGAATGGAATGTGTTCTCCATGGCGATATAATCTTTAGATTTAATATTCGCTGGGCAAGGGGTCGCACCCAGTTTCCAATTTCCAAACGGCTGCGCCCATCACTTGGATAACTTTCAATGGGTGGCATCCACATGACAGTGTTGTGTGTAACGTGATCTGGAAATGAGGGGTCCCCCTGGGAAAAGTCCATCATTCAAATCTGTTGACAAAACACGGCCAGATCCCAGCAGACCGCCACACAGTCGATAGGGAGAGACCCAATAAACTAAGAGATTAAAATAAGCCAATATATAATAATAAATTCAAAGTGAGTGGATGTTTACGTTTTAACAAAACGCAGTAGTATCATGTTTTGAAATCAGTCGTGTTATGGGATACCCTGATAATACCTATAGATTCCATTCGAGAATCGAAACAAAACGCTCCAATATGTTTCCGTATCTGGTTACGACGGGTTGATGTGCTCCAAAGGCCACAGGGCGGTCGAGATCAGAGTTTATCTCGATCGAATGTCAAAGTGTTCTAGAAAATAGTTTCAGGAAAGCATTTTTCATTTCAAATTAATGGAAATTGATTTTCGAAAAAAAAAAAATACAAACTAATTAGATGCACGACACCGAAATGCACTTTGATATACTTTCCTGGCGGGGGAAGATCGAACATATATCCGAATGAGAGCTATTGCTACTTACTATCGCCAGCAATATGATGAATTGGTTGAATCACGAATTTCCGACTGGAAAACTCATTTGCATACATGTACAAGTATGGCCAGTGCCAGTGCCAGTTACCGGTTTCTCTCTAAACTTGAACAACATCGCTCGCACACACACGGCCTGGGCCCCGGCCTGGCCAGGCCAATACGTTTGGCTAGAAAACACAGACGGACACGGCCAGGCATACACACATTATAGTATCGCTGCAATGACAGAAATGGAATTAATTATGGTCGGAGTGTCGGCGGCGCCTTGGCCCAAACCAAAGCCAATTCAAGCCAGAAAACCAATCCAAGCCAAGTCCAAACAGCAAAACCGAACCCAAAATCTGTGTCTGGCTCGGAAAAAATCTTTCGTGACTCGATGAAATGTTAGCCAAAAGACCTAAACACGTTTAATGCGATCTCTGGCTGCAGTTTTCCCTTCGGCGGGTTTCACCAATGCAGGCAGGCGGCATGCGGCATGCGGCATGGGGGCATGGGGTATGGGGCAAGCACTCAACTTGACACCCACACACATATTTTCTGTGGCAGCCAAAGCTGGCTAAGCGGTTTTCTTCAGCCGACTCTGCGTTTGTATGTCTAATTAAATGCCCGCAATATACGAGGATATGCACTGAAACTAAACCAACAAAAAAACCAGAATCTTTTGCAGATAAAAGGTCTGTTTTTGAAAGATAAGACCAATTCTCCTTGAATACTATGCTCTTTTGGAAATACCTAATCTAATATAGATTCTAGCTATCACTTTTCGCCCTGTGTATATTCCCGTTCTGTTCGAAAACCCAGTCCCCTCCATCGACTTGGATAAATGCGATCTATTCTATCCATTTTCTAGACGTTACTGCGCATTTTGCATCGGGAACTGGGAGATCTGGTCGCTTGCTTGGTTTGGCAACAAAAATTAATACCTTACGAGCTTATGGTGGTGGCTCTTTGTTTACCACACGACCCAGCCACGGTTTCGAATTATTTGTTTTGCCATGAAAACGAAGGCAAACACGGGCGTGTTCCATTAGGGGCATCCGCGACCGAATCCGCATCGAATGGCCGGGAAAATGCATTCTCAGGGCATATTGCATAAGGCCGTTAAGAATCGTATCGAGTATTTTTTCGCTCGGCAGGTTTCGGCGGAATTCTTGGAATTACGATCCAGTACACCCCTAGCCAGCGATCTGGCAAACGAGTTCTTAATTGGCGTCAAGAAACGCTCGTTCCAATGGGAATCCCCCTCCGGACGCTCGGGTCTTTCAACGTCATTAGTTAAATCATTTAGAGGTTAGGGCGTGCAAATATAAAGCAACTCTAATCGGAAAGGTAAACGATCGAAACAAAATAAATACTCCAGGGGAGAGGAGAGTCCTCCAACGTGTAAAGAAACTTTCCGATCTACATCTAACTTGTTCGAGTGGGGAAGTACTTGACGGAAACATACAATATTGAAATGAAATGCTTTCGCCAATTTCTGAGTAACAAGTCGAAAATAACCGTAGAATCACTGTTGACCGCGAAACAATTGCCATTAAACGATAAGCAAACATGTTGCAACATTCAAAGGGTTCGGAGCCGGAGTGTACTGACCGAATTAGCGTGGCCAATGATGTCAACCCATCATCTGGGTGTCGTGGTGCTAATCTGGAGAATAAACATGGCTCACTATTTCGCCAATCGAATCAGCATTTTTATATTTTTTTTTTGGGGAAATGAGTGATACACTGAGCTCCGGGTACTCCGGTGATGGCAGAGCCATGAATACAGCCACTTCCCCTGAACGTTGTTGATTCAATAAACGTATATCTGCTTATCTGGCTCCGACAATTAGCGATAAGATATCAGGCCGTGCTCGTATGAGTGGTCTGTTTTTTTAGTATTTCTTGGAAGGAGAGACACGACTGTACAACTGGCTCTACTTTTCTCCCATTCTGGACCATTTCAGTTTGCTCATCTTCCGGAGAATGGGTCGCCAGTCGACTTGCAGGCTGGTCCTGCTGCTGGCCTTTACGCTTTGTGCAATCCAAGCCAGCCACTCCACCTCACTAAAAGCACCATCGATTCAGTACATCAAGGATGATTTGCTCGACAATGAACTGTCCTCCGGCGAGGAGACAAGTCCTGCCGAGCCGCTGCCCAAGATCTCCACGCCCAAGGTGAAGGAGGTGCCGGCAGAGACCACCACCAAGAGTTCGCCCAAGAAAAAGACCACACTGCCGAGCAAGGAGACGACGATCAGCGAGGAGGCTCTCAAGGATCTGATGGAGGCGGCCAAGCACAGTCAGCTGTTGGGCGAGGACCCGCACTTCAACAAGATGCTCGAGAAGGAGAACGCCACCGTCAGTGAGTCATCCAGCAAGAGCTCCAACAGCAGTGAAGACAACTACTTTTACGACAACTTTGATGATGACTACGACTACAACTACAACTATGACGATGACAAGGAGACCACAACAGGTGCCGCCAAGAAGGAGATCAAGAACACCAGTACCACCAGCAAGCCCGAGCTGAAGCCCATCGTGGATAGCACTTCCTCCTCACCCAAGGTAAGAGTCCATCAGTCTCTATTAGTCACAGAAGGTCTTTACAGAAGAGTCTTGAAACTTTACAGCCAAAGCGCAAAGATGATAAGGTCAAGGATAACACCATTGAGAGTGACAACGATTCCAACTACGAGTACTACGACGACGATGACGACGACGACGATGATGATGATGACGATGACGACGACACCCCCGAGACTGTCACCGACGACGAGGAGGTGCTCTTCAGCGAAAATGTACCCTGCCCGCGATTCTGTCAGTGCGCCCGCAACATCAACAGCTACATGGTGGCCACTTGCAGCAGGTTTGTCTCTAAAGGACTTCCATCCACTCCAGATAATAATTTGTATCCAAAATCTTTGGCAGATTGGACCAGGGCACCCAGAAATTCGGCTCCGACATCACGGACCTTGTGGTCACCAATGTGGGACCCAAATACCCCATTCTGCTGGGTTCCAAATTCTTCCTGAACCTGGGTCTCAAGAACGTGGCCTCCATCAAGATCGCCAACTGCACCCTGGAGTACCTGCACCCCGAGGCCTTCCACGGCCTGGAAGAGCTTTATGCCGTGAATCTGACGGATGTTGGCCTGGCCCTGCTCAACCCCAACACCTTTGTTCAGAACAAGAAAATGCGGATGCTCACCATCTCGGGCAACGATCTGAGTGTGATGTCCAGCGTCCACTACATGCTCAAGGTAGGTCCTTGTTCACTTTCTCCCAAGAGGTTTACTGATTGTGGTGTCTTTGTAGTCCTCTAGCATCGAGGAGTTGGACATGTCCCGCAACAACCTCATGGAACTGAACCCCACGGCCTTCTCCCAGCTCTCCAACATCGTGTACATTAATCTGAGCCAGAACGGCCTCAAGAAGTTGCCAGCCAACGTGCTGGACAATCTCACCTCCCTGGAGGAACTGGACCTGTCCTACAATTCGCTGTCGGAGCTGCCCGCCGACATCTTCAACAAGACCACCCTGTCGATCCTCCACCTGAAGTACAACACCTTCACCGACAACCTGCACTTCGGCAACAAGAACCTGCAGCAGCTAGACTTGAGCTTCAACTCCATCGGTCAGGTGCACCACAGCATGTTCGAGAAGATGCCCGGCCTGACCAACCTGAACCTGAAGGGCAACGGCATCACCAAGATCCAGCCCGACTCCTTCCTGGCCCTGAAGAACCTGCGCCACATCGATCTTTCCATCAACGAGCTGGAGCAGATTTCCGGAATGCTGTTCTTCAAGAACTCCGACCTGGATGTGATCCGCTTGAACGATAATCCCCGTCTGAGCCAACTGCCCACCGATGGCTTCCTCAGCTACAGCGGAGAATTCACCGTCTACTATCTGGACATCTCGAACTGCGCCATCGGTCCTCTGGGCCACAAGACCTTCTCCACGATGCCGCACCTGACCACCCTGAAGCTGGCCTGGAACAACATCAACCACCTGCCCAGGGAGATCTTCACCAGCCTGCATAAGCTGATCGACTTGGATCTGAGCAACAATCTGATTCCCCGCCTGGACGACCTGATCTTCATGGAGAACGGAGAGCTGACCAAACTGAACCTGGCCGGCAATCCCATCAGCCGCCTGTCGGTGCGTCTCTTCCTGCCCCTCCACCAGATCCGCTCCCTGGATGTCAACGACTGCGAACTGACCAGCTTGCTCGCCGACCGCCAGCTGGGCAAGGACTACAAGCTCTTCGAGACTCTGCGCAGCTTCAACGCCTCCGGCAACCGGATCAAGAGGATCTCCGTCGCCGATGTGAAGAGCTTCAAGAGCCTGCGCTCCCTGGACATCAACAACAATCCGCTGAAGTGCAGCAACGACTTCCAGGAGTTCATCAGCTACGTCACTCTGCAGATGCAGATGACGCCCAAGCGCCTGCCCGTGCTGTCCAATCTGGAGGATGACGCCACCATTGTGGAGCTGGAGACCCAGGCTCAGGCCGGTTGGGCTCAGCTGGCTCGGGATGTGTGCAAGCACACCGAGATTACCATTGACGAGGATGAGGAGAAGGCCGACAGTGCCGAGGCTAAGCTGGAGAAGCGACTCAAGGAGAGCGAGAAGAAGCTGGATGAGGACGAGAAGAAACTGCTTGATGTCCTGGACAAGAGCGTTTTGGACAAGAGCAAGCTGAGCAGCATGCAGAAGATAATGAAGGGCTCGGAGGCGCCAGTAAACGATGACGACTCAGAGGACAATGGTGGCGAGGAGAAGGACGAGGATGCCAGCGACTACGACAGTGACGAGGACGATGAGGATGATGAGGATGACGACGACGATGACGATGACGAGCGCTTCGAGGAGGCCAAGAAGAACTCCCAGGCCAAGAAGAATTCCGAGGCCAAGGACCAGAATGACTTTGACAGGTTCATCAACAAGGACCTGAAGCCCAGGCTGAGGGATCACGGCGTCAAGGCCGAGGAGGTGGAACTCTCTGAGGAGACGAAAGAAAAGTTCCTACTGGGTGAGTTTAGATCTCATGTCTATCGAAGATTAGGTATTTAATGGTATACTTTGTCCAACAGAGAAACTTGGCCTCGACAGTGACGCGTCCAGCGATGAGAGCGACGAGGAGATCTTCATTGAGCGCGGCCGCATCTACTACGGCAACTACAACATGCTGATCCCGGTGATCCTGGTCATCAGCTGTGTCCTGCTCATCCTGCTGGCCATTGCCCGCGTAGTCTATGTGGTGCTCCGCAAGCGCGGCGAACGCTACAGGATGGCCCTGCTGGCCTCGAAGAACTCGTTTGTCTACCAAAAACTGAGCGAGGACATCACCAAGCCCAGCGCCAAGGACCAAAAGCAGCCCAAGATGGTCAAGCAGCCCAAGGTGCACCGGTATGCGCCCATCAACCAGGTCTAAGTCGGAAGTCGAACGAGTTGCGCTGTTTTTCTAATTTATAAGCTTATTGATAGTTAAACATGTGGAAATCGCATCAGACATTTGACTACACACACAACAACAACAAAAAGAACCACACTAGAACACAATACACAGAAGCACCAGGAAGCCAGGATACAGGAGCAGGAACAGGAACAGAAAAAGGAGTTAAAAGTATTAGCAAAAGTGCGAGGCAACAAAGCAACAACTGAGAAATACTTGAATCCAAATAGGTTTTTGAATGAAACTATGACGAGGTCCCCCCTTCTACCCACTAAATAGCTTAATCTGACCTAATCCTGTTGCCAATATTTTGACAACTGCAGAGGTCAGATGGTGGGGTTCGATTGGCAATCGTTTCGAAAGGAACCCATAGTCCAGTAGTCCCCCAAAACTAAACCACTCCACTCCATATGTAAGAGAATTTCGGGAATAACTTGAAGATTTAGTGCCATTTTGCCAAAATTCCAGCCGTGCGAAAATTACTTAAAAAAAAAAAACAATTACTTAAACAAACTGAAATTAAGTCAGAAGGATGTGAGGAGAGGGATATTTGTATGAGGAGTTTTAGGATCCAGAAATGTGTAGCAAAACGTAAGACGACTCCCTAGTACCAACGTCTGATTTGAATTCCGATCAAGAGATGAGATCCGAGAGCGTGAGGAAATAATTAATGAATAAAACGTATATTAAGTCTTTTTTATTATCTTTTTTTCCAATCGAAATCAAATAATCGCTTGACTTATTTGACTTTGAAACCAATTCCGAAAACAATAAATTATTTTAACCAAAACGAGTGTAATCTTTACAATGCATACTTAGTAGACATAAACGTACGTACATAACATATAAACCATAACAATGCCGTTCAATAAAATTGAATATATATTTTATCTGCATTCAATAAACGACTCAAGTGGCCCCGACATCATTATCTCTGATGTGTGGTAATGGTTAGCTTCCTCTGAAATCGGAGGGCAAACTTGGTGACTTCCTGTTCGCTTTTCAGTTCCTGCCGGATTTGGCGCCACATCCGTTCGAAGCCGCTGTCATAGGGCATGCCCAGAAACCGGCTATGTTTGGCTCTCAACTCTTCGCCGATCTGCTGCCACATTAGCTCAAAGTCCCTGTCATAGGGCATTCCAATGAATTTCTCATTAAAATCGAATGTGAAAGCATACTCGTGTTCGGAGGTGGGCATTTTTCAAAAGCTAAGTATGATATTAGTTTAAACTTTAATTATTATTATATTTTATTTAACTACCTACGATATATTGGGCCGGCTTAATTACTTAAGGATTCCAGCCCTATTGAAGCCAATTCTTTTGATCTTCTTGGAAGTTTAGGAAGTCAATCATCCATCTTCCCGCCACAAAATTAAAACTAAAACTGAATGACTCAAAAATAAAGAGCTCCTCAGAGCCCAAAAGAGAATCTGGATAAAATAGTGCTGAGTAGAGAGTAATTACCCTTCGAGGGGGCTCTTGAAACATTCAAAAGAAACAAACAATGAGACGAGGAATCAAGTTCCAAGCCATTGTGTGGTATTTTTTTTCAAACGTATATACAAAAGTTTATTGACAATCTGGGGGACTTAACAGGCCCTGTGTTTGTTGTTCTTTTTTTCGAAATTGAAAGCTATAGCTTCTTGGAAATGTGACCAACTAAGTGATACCGATTCCGTTAGTTAAAAACTTTTGATCAAGCGAGCAAGTCGAGCGTGGGTAAGTAGAGCTCCCAAATAATTAATAGACCTCCATGGAATTCTCGAACAATTGCGAAAGGTTATCGTGCGTCTGGGCCCTGGGTGCCAGCTTAGTGATTCTTTCCTGGGGCAGGGTTCCCTCTACCAAGGCAGGCACATCGCTGCTGGAGAAGCCCAGCTCCCGGAGGCCATTTTCAATGCCGGCACGCTGCATAAAACCGCGCACAGTGTCCGCCAAAAGGCGGCCGGCATCTTCGGAGCGAACTCCCCGCGTCTCGGCGCCCAGCAGCTGGGCAGCCTCCAGGTGGCGATCCGGGCAGGCCGGTGCCGTGAATTCAAATACCGCTGGAGCACTGATCACCACCGAAAGACCATGTGGAATAAGAGCGTGATCCGCAGAGTAGCCTTTTGGCTTGTAGTTGCGGACATTTCCTGAAATCGGATACGAAAGTCCGTGGCACAGGTGGACTCCGGCATTGCCGAATCCCACGCCGGCCATTGTCGAGGCCAAGTGCATTTGGGACCGGGCTTTTAGATTATCCGGCTGGTAAATGGCGTCCACAAAGTTATCACGAATCGTCGTCAAAGCAAACCGAGCCCAGACATCCGAGACGGGGTTCCTGCCCTGGTATGTGGGTCGCAGGCTGGGATCACTGGGCGCCGGACCACGCTCCCTATAGTCCACGGCCGTAAAGCTCTCCAGGGCGTGGCAGAAGACATCAAAGCCGGCAAAGGCCATCACACGCTCCGGTTGGGAGAGGGTGTGCAGGGGATCAATAATGGCTGGGAATAACTAATCTTTAATTCTTTCTTGGGATTACATATGAATATAAAGACTCTACCCAGAGTAGGTTTGAGAAGCTTGCTGGATATTCCAGTTTTGGCGTGGAGTTTCTTGTAATCGAATATGGCCACTCCAGTGGTCTCCGAGCCTGTTCCCGAGGTGGTGGGCATAGCTATCAGTGGCTTTAGTTTCACGGATATCTAAAAAGAAAGACTTCTTTAATCTCCGAGCTTAAATGGCTTATGTATTTCTACCTCTTTTCCTTTTCCTATGGGGCTGTTGACATAGTCCAGGAACTCCGCCTGCCTATCACTACTATATAGATTCGCCGCCTTAGCTGTGTCCATGGCCGATCCCCCGCCAATGGCCAAAAAGGCATCGAACTCCTTGCCGCGGGCAAACTCCACTGCATGCCACATGCTGCTATCCGTGGGTTCCACTCGGGTTTGGTCGTACACCTCGTAGTTGATGCCATGACGAGCCAGTGAATCCAGAGCCACCTTTACCGAGGGCAACTTGGCCACATTCTTGTCCGTAACCAGGCAAACATTCTGGGCACCCCAGTTGCGAAGATCGGCGCCCACTTCGGCACTTACTCCGGGTCCAAAACGCACTGTAGAGGCAGACATCTAAAAAAAGAAGATGGTAAATTATATTGGGTTATCTCCTCTATTTAAAAACCAGATATTCCCAGAGATAATAGATGAACAACTAGATCAAAGTCCAAAAAATTTAAAACTTGCCTCAAAAGCGTATTCCATGCGACCCGTTTGGGTGGCGATAGGGGCGGCTGAACCATAATTATGCGAGTGGGCGGGGCACTTGCAGCTAAAAAAAACAATAAATTTTAAATTTTATTTAGAATAATATATTAAATATTTGAAACTTACGAATTAGCCACTATAGTGTTGACCAAACTCAAAACATTCTTGCGCGACATTCTGGATGCAAATGGAATCAGCTGCTCCAATTGGAATTCTTCTGATAAGAGCTCTGATCGATAGACACGTGTTATCGATAATTTAACCGCCAAATTTAAAGTTCTTCCCATTGCAGCTTTTAAAAAAATCTACAAAGAACAAGATGTGTGACTACCAGAGAGACTACTCCTTTGTGTACGAGGACAGTTCCTGCGAGGGCGACGTCTCCATGACCGCCCACGACAACGGCTTCGAGAGCATGTGGCAGCAGGTGGGCGAGGAGCTTCGCCGGGAGCGGGAAATGAACGAACTCAGCCAGCTTTTCCAGCAAAACCTGAACCTGAGCCCCACAGTTTTGGGCAATCCATGGATGTTTTAGAAACATCTCCCCAGAGCCAGCTCATTGTGATATTTGTATAATTTGAGACTTGGTCGTGAGACCCTTGATCGATCATTTGCCAGACAAGTGATATTCGTTGCAGTATTTTTTTTTAAAGAAAATGTTTTTATTTTATATATTAATCCAGTCCCCAATATTATTTTTGTATACTTTGCTTAGTTTATGAAGTTTTCCGTTTCAATTGTTATATTTTCCGCGTTGTTTTGTTATTTGAAGCAAACACAAATGTTTGTCCTAGATCCTAGAAACTGGCAAGAAATTGCTGTCGATATCGTATTCCAGTTAAGACTGTAAAATCGATATATTCGAAACTAAAAAAATATCAATAATATTGTATACAAGAACATTAGAGGGAAGTTCGACGCCCAATGCTATAATAAATATTCTATGTTCAAAGCTTTGTCGTTCGAAAGCAATTTTCGTTTTTAATTAGAAACTGCAATTTGCGACTGCGATTTGATTGTAATGGGAACAATTGTCCGATGGAGCTAATTACCTAAATGTATGTCCGCCCATTTTTAGCGCTAGATTTACAACTCAATTTGGCCGTCTATCTGGCCGATCTGCGAACATAAACAACTGGCAAAGGTAAACGATGTTGACGGCAATTCCCTTCATTAGCATGCAGGTCGCTGGGGGCGCCAAACCATAAAAAGTGCGATTCTCACCGGATCAGGCATCAGTTTGCAATTGAGGAGACAGCCAGACACAGGCCTTAGCACGCGATGCAGTGGTTTAACTTGTTCTTGATCTTTGGAATCCTGGCGATGATCGGCAGCCTGGGCACCCTGACCACCGCCGAACCGGCCCCGGAGCCAAAGGGACGTCCCTACACCACACGACGTCCTAGGAACGACAATGACGACGATCGGCGCTAGCAACTAGATCAGGGAACAGCCAGAAAACAGGATAATCCCTCCAAGGATTTACCCCCAAGATGCACTGATCCACAGCAGATACAAAAGGCACATCAACTCTCGGTAAAGGTCGAATGTTTTGGAGTTGAGAAAACGCAATATGTTGAAATTCTACTCATCTAGTGGGATTTCTTTAAAACCACCTCCCCTAACCCTCATACAATAAATATCCTTTAATTTACAACAGAGTTTTGATCATTGGTTTATTCGATAGTTGGTTTTTGTCATAGTTCTAGAGTTAAATTGGTCAGCTTAATAATACCCTGACACTTTCGGGGATTCTTTCTGATACTGATAGATTGGCGGATGAAGCACCAAGACTTTACTTGACTTGATTTCTTTGGTTGTGCGAGGGTTTTCATATCTTTTCGTTTTTTGGGGAAGTGCGTTTCTGTATTTACCATATTCTATTTATATATATATTTGATTCTGTATTCGAGTCTGACCATTAATTTATCAAATTTAATTCAATAGTTTCCGTTTTCATTTGCTTAGCTACGATAGTGTCTTTGTCTTTATTTGGTTACAAAATAATTTCAATTTATCTAAACTGCAATTGCATCTCCAGTGTCGACATCAGCTTATAAATGTGTGTGAGTATGGTAATTCAAATTTTAAAGCTAGCTTTACAGTTACAATTACAATTAGTATTACATATGTACTATATATGCGATTAATTAATCTATTCGAGTTGATTCTGGGGGATTCTGGGATAGAGCCCTTATGTCTATGTCGGTATATAGTTCGTAGTTCTATCTGATTTGATCAAATTACTCTCGTCTTACTCGCTTATTTGTATCTTTTGCTTGACGCATATGTATCTGTATCTGCTGAATGCTTGTATCTCGTAGGTGGGTCTGACACTGACTTGAATATAATTGATTTGCTTGTCGTAGAATCTAAGCTCAAAATGCAGTTGGGAAGGTATTAGTCGTAGGTTCTTGTTCGGGAAGAGGGGGATTTCATGCGGGAAAACAGCTGAGTATCTTTGGTTGTGATTACTGCCTAACTATCTAGATTTTCACTCTCACTCCGGGGACTCCGAGGAGGCCGATATGCCCCCCAGGCTGCAGGCCCCCACACTGCCCGCACTCGTCGACGCCCCAATATCGCTGATGCTCTTCACGCGCCGCCTGCTCTGCTCATAGAGCATCTGTGCCTCGGCCACGCCCATGCCGTCCAACGGCCCTACACCGCCCACGGGCGGAGCACTAACCCTGTGACCCGGTGGCCCGTAGTTGCCACCTGCCGTGGGTATAGGCGGTGGTGCAGTCGTCGGCGGAGGCAGAAAGTGGTGATAATGCTGCTGCTGCTGCTGGTGATGATGCGGATTGGAGTACTGGTGGCCTATGGTTGCGTATATTCCCCCGCCACCCTCGCTGCTGCTGTACGAGGGCGTTGGGGAGGTGGAGTTGCCGAAGGAGCTCCGGTCACCGGACCGATGGGGCTTGCTGTTGAACCGAAAGGCTTTTGAAAGGGAACTCTGTAATGGAAACATTTATGAATTAATTTTTAAATATTCGAAAGGGTTATCGTAAAAACACTCACCTGGGATCCTTTCCATGCCGAAATCTTTTCATTTAAAAATTAAAAATGAAAAGAAACAAATAATGTATTAAGTTATCTTAAGCTAATCCCTATTTCTTTTAGAAATATCTCCTAATCTTTAAGAAACTCTTTACAAACTGTCGTGAAACTTCAGTTGCTACCCGGTTATTTTTGAAATTTTCTTTCAAAGTGTTTAGTATTTTTATGTTTTTATGTTGGAAGTGTAAGATTTAATAAATACTTAAATCATTTTTGCAAAAATCATGCTTATTTAAGTTTTAAAAGGAAATTAAATGAAAGAAAATAATACTTATCTTTTTAAGGACTTTTCTATTATCAGAGCTAGCTTTAGTATTTAGTTTCATATCAAATTATTATTTATTTTAAAAATTATTATTATCTTTAATTTATTAGACTTAAAAATAAATAATTTAAAGTGCTTAAATCATTTAGAGTAGACACCGACAGACAACGAAAGCTTCACGTCAATTCAGGCTTAAGACACATTAAATATTGATTAGCATTTAAGGATATTTTAGACATAAGTTATGTGGCTAGTTGGGGGCTATAGTAGGATATAGTGGGTTTCAATAGTACTTACCCTGAGGCTGCCGCTTGAACGGCGATCTGTTGTGGCATAGTGCTGCAATCCGCCGGGTCCTGTCAGAGGCACTACGCCGCAACCGGAACGGATGCCTTGACCCAGAGTCGCTCTACACAACAAACATGGCAATTTCGAGTTCGATTTCCGAATATTTTGCATACATTTTATATGTATGAGTGTGTGTGCGTGTGTGATGGTGTGTTTTGAGTGGGTGGTTTGGGTGGTTTTAGGGGCGAGGCATGGTATGGTATGTTGTTATAGTAGATTGTAGGGTGCATGTTGTTTCGTATTTTCATAGGCAGGCAGGCAGGCAGGCAGCACAAAGTAGACAGGACACAGACAGATTGGAGATTTTGGAGATTGGTGAGTGCGTGGAGGCGGGGGGCACGGCAGGCAGAGCAACAGAGATAGCAAATACAGAGCAAGATAGAGATAGAGGCAGGCACACACAAGTACACACAGATACAAATTGGTGTGTTCGTTGGTGGTTGTTGTTGATTGTTGATTTAATTAATTGCATTATATTTTGGTATTTTGTTGTTGATTTGTTGTTGTAGATGTTGTTGTTGTTGTTGTTGTTGTGTTGTAGAATCGTGTGAAGACATTCAAGCATAGTTAGCAACAACAACAAGCCGTTGATTCGATTACAATTGGAAATTGAAGAGGTAACAATATGGATGGAAAAGCAAGAGAGTGGAGAAAAAATATAGGAAAGATTGAAAAAGAAACGGGACAAAGACAAAAAATCTGGTTAATCAATGTTGGAGAGTTACTTTTCAAATAGATTTTGATATATTGTTCGTATCGATAGCATAATTAACTACTTGTAGCGTAAACAACAACAAAAATCAAATAAATATCTATGGTGAGAGAAAGCCCCCGAATCAAAAATGGTACAAAAAAGTACAAATCGAAAAGAACAGAGTTTCTAACAGACAAGAAACCATCAGCCAGAAATGTATCTTTTTTTAAAGCCTTTTGTTTTTTTCTTTTTTTTTTCTTTTAGTTCCAATCACACTTACGATCGATATAATGTATTTGTATTCATATGACAATGGTTAGACTAGGTCAAGCTACTTAGAAACATTGATAACACATACATATGTAGAACTTGGATTCGTGTCGTGTGACATTTGTGTGTTTAAGAGAGATAAGCTACTTAGTAAGCAAGTTTTACTTACAATTGACACTGTAGTTGCAAAATTGCAAAAACCAAAACAACGACTTCTTAGAGAAAACTTATTGACTTATGGGAGAGAGTCCTGCGGTCAAGCAAGCCCTCAAAAGTATGCTAATATTTCTTAAATGCAATTCAACTAACTAAATTATCCATATAATCGTACAGTTTTTATTTAACTTTGGACACCTAAACTTTTCGTTTAAATTTGTTAAAGTTTTTCGCCAACTATCCATACAATGTTTCGTGTGTCTTTTTTGTTTTTTTTTGTGAAACTTTAGAGACCGCAGGACCAACTCACTTAAAGCGCCTCACAGTATGCAACAACAAACATGGACTAAATTAATTAACCACGGTAATGTACGTAGATGTATGTGTATGCTCGTGTATGTATATGTGTTCATGGACTCGTGTTTGTGAATGTGTGGTCATGTAATTGGTCTTTAAGGTTCAATTGTGCGTTGGTGGCTGTCTAACCGAGCTTAGTCCCGAACAGGGGGGAGCTCCCTGTATCACAGTGACCTAGTGTGTTCCAGGCTAGTAAGCTGCCTCTATGTGTGTCTTGGTGTATGGATGGCATTTTTAATGCAAAAAACTTGACTATTTTTAATAACTCGATTACATTGACGAAAAAGTCTTAATCTTGTAACTACATTAAATGCTTGACTTGTAAATCAACCTAATTAAATGCAACGTTAAGCGCTCCTCGGGGAGTCAATATCAATATTCGGATATGCAAAGCTTGGACACATGTTTTTTTTTGTTTGGTTTTATTTTGTTTAATTGCGTGCTTTCCTATATTCGATGCCTAAAGCACTTAATTGTATAATGTATGATTGCTAATCGAACCGTGATTATTCAACTACGCGTTATGACAAAATGACTAGCGCTGTGCCCCAGTTATTGTTCTCTCCCTAATGTTATTATCGTATCATCATCATCAGCTTGGCTAAACAAATCAGTATGAATCCCATTTAAAGTTTTTTTTTTTTGATTTTGAATTTTTTGTGTTTTTTTGTATTATTTGTGGTTCATGCGGATTTAATGGCCCTGCATTTTGGCCAATTGTCTGGAGGCTTCCATTTGAAATTCTTCCATTTGGCAGTAAATAATGTATCTGCATTTTGGAAAATATAGAAAATACGCGAAATCGGTTTTTGGGAAAGAAAAGAGAGAGAAACACCGCCATTAGTGGAATTTGCTTTTTTAGAGCATATTTTCATACATTTTTCTTATAAGTTGTTATCTTATGAGATTGTCTAAGACACGTTCACATGATCAACAAAGAAACACATTACAGTATTATCTAATAGAAGAGACCGTTACATACTTATGCACGAGTAGACAGATAATGATACAGAGATATGACATCGCATGAGGTTTGGTATGAGTTTCTCTAATGATTCGAAAAGTTCGAGTTTCTGCAGCCATGAGATGGGGAAGAAAACAGATGGATAGTATATGCATATAAGAAGCGGCTCAAAAATTATCAAAGCACTAAATCTATAAAGGCCTGAGATGAAGATGAGTGTCGTGTGTCTGCTAATGTGATGATGAGAAGCAGCGTGATTATGAAACAATAACTGATTAGCTCCCACAACAACAGTATGTATCACCTGACAAATAATGAGGATGGTGTCTAGAAATTAATAGTATCGGGAGGGTTATATAAGCGTTACGAGGGAAATGGAAATACAAAAACGGCAATAACTCAATCAAAAACAAAGACAACTCTAATCAAAACGCTGTATTACGCTACATATTTATGTATTCACATTTCACATGTCAGACCCGAGGGATTACACAAAAAGGATACTCGACACACGCAAGGCACACAAAGAAACACACACACACTAGCGCACGCTGGCACTCAAACACACACCCATACAGAAGAATATCCTGTAAAGGATACTCCCTCACTAGACTTACCGAGCAGGCAAAATAAGCGCATCGAATTCCGTGTTTAGATGTCGCCGTATTATGTTTTTCGAGGGGGGAATACCCAATGCCGTGGCCATGGTGTCACCGGAAAAGGATGGCTCCAACACCACCAGTCCGCCGTGCACTCCGCTGTCTGCAAGTGGTTGATATTAGAGAGGAGTGGGTCAGAAACCGCAGTAATTGCAGCCATGAATGGCATAATCAAACGGCAATCGATATGCCAAACGCACCCTTCAAATTGTCGGCGTACTCGCCCAGGTCGATGGATCGCACCCAGCGGATGAATCGCTGGTTTGTCCAAACAATGGGGTCCGTGTCCACCGTCTCCGATTGCACTCGGCGCATGGCCAGCGTCTGTCTGTCGTACTTGACGATGCGCAACACGTGGATACCTGGCCAGGGAAAGGTAAATAGAGCAAGGCATTCGGTAATGAATAGTATTAATTAAGGTTCGAATACAGAACTCTAGGACTCTCATAATAATTACCATGCACAATGCTGGCCTGATGGAACTTCCGTGTGACGCCCAAGAACTTTTCCAGCTCCTTCTTGGAGAGCGTGTCCAGCATTCGGGCATCGACCAGCGACTGGACGAACGGCTCCGCGTACTGGGGCAGCCCGATGTCCGGCAGCCACTCGGAGGCTACCCAGGTGTGTCCCAGTTGCGTGATTAGCGGATATCGGACCAGTTCCGGTCGCCGCTGCTCCTCGATGGCCAGCCGAAGTTTTTTACGATGCATGGGATGGGCCAGACCCAGTCCCGCCTCCAGCTCGACGTCATTCAGCTCCAGCAGGACTTTGCCGCTTTTTACATTCTCCGCACACCTGGCACTATACTGGGGCATACCAAGAGCAACCTCCAGCCAGGCCAGGACCTGAAAGCATTCAGGATTGGAGAGTGCTTTAAAGGAAGTAAATTATGGAAAATACCTGTGTGGCACGCCAGCGATCGATGGGCAACTGTGAGGCTTCCCTCAGCAGACGCAGCTTCTCGGCGTAGCCCTCCTCCGTCAAAGGATTCCACGAGTAGTCGGCGTCTGAAAGGGATTTATATTTAAAAATGATTGAAAATCATAGATTTATATCTCCAACTCACATTCAGTCACTCCGTCAGCGGAAAGGGCCTTACTCTTATTTCGAGATCGAGCAAAGACCCGGGATATACTTCCCCAAGTACCACCGCGACCATTGCGAGCTCCCAGAGGGCCACTCTTGCTGGCAGCTGCAAACTTCCGACTTATTGCACCACCACCAGGGCCTTCGGGATCCACCGGAGAGCCCAACTGCTCCACCGACCTATTAAATTTCCAACATAATTAAATGATATTTAATAACCACACTATGCCATTAATTTGGGCTTGGAAACTATTGTAAAATAATCTAAACCAATGCCATTTAATGAGGTTTCAGGGTTCATCAGTCATTTAATGGCATCTGACCAGTTTGGTAGATTAAATTAATTCAGTTAGTTGCACAAGTTAATTAACTATGAGGTTAGAGTTTACTAAATGTGTTTTGCCAGAGACCGTTGTCACCATCACATATTTCAAATTATTTTGCAGAATTTCAATAAACATACCTGGAGTAAGCCGCTGAATTTAATGGAGATAGTGTGGGGCTTCGTTCTTTGGGGGTTCCAACTAGAAACATTTAAATATTAATAAGCTTTAAGCTTAAAACATAATTAAAATGGTAACCCACTCACATTGATACATATTTTGGCTGGACACTAGCGAGATGCTGTCCGGATCCACCGTGATGCAGGGGCCGTTGTCGCAGGTGCCGTCACTGAAGTTCAACTCCCCGCCGGTGCTTTCGCGATCGCTGCTGTTCCTCAATCCGGAGTCATTCGAACAGGAGTTCCTATCCCCGGCCGTGGCTCCGGACCCGCCACTCAGACTGCCACTGAAGGCGGACAACGAGTTGCCACGCCCACTGTCTTCGGTGGTGCCCCGGATGCCGGCCAAGCCACCACCCATGCCGGAGCCGGCCACCATTTGGCTGAGCATTCCGGATGCAGCGGAAGGTGGTGTCAGTGGGGCGAACGAGTGGAGGCTCTCCTGGTCGGAGAGGCATCCTGTCAGCTGTCGCCGTGCCTCCTGGAGCTGTTCCTGCAGCCTCTGCAGCTGGAGGTCTCGGGAGGAGAGTTGCTGGGCCAAAGCCAGAGAGCGCTCCGCCTCATCCCGAGCCTGTTTAAGAAGCTGGAATCTCTCCCGGTCCCGATCACCAGATATCTTGGCATTGGTCGTTTCCGTTTCCCGAACTCGCTCCTGATAGTTCCGGATAAAGTCGCGCAGCTCCTGCTCTTTCTCCTGCAACGAGGCGCACAGTTGCTTCACCTGTCCCAGTAAATCGGATTTATCCGTTCGGAGTTTCTTTCGCTCCAGTCGCATGGTCAGGAGCTGGTTCTTTACGGATCTCAGTTCAGATTCAAGGCGCTCGATGCGCTCTTTGGCGGCAGATCCTTCAGTGGATCCACTTGCCTCTGTTTCGGGTGTGGCATCCACACCACCCACGGCTCCATCTGTGGAAAGTTCGAGGAGTCGCCTCAGCCGAAGTAGTTCGGTATTGAGACGGTCATTCTCCTCACGAAGCTTCATGGCGGATTCTGGAAATCGAATGGAAACTAGTAAGTTATGGAATAAGGATTCTTGATCCTGAGGCAGGATTCTCAGCTACAGCTACCAAGCTGCGGTGAAGCGATGATCGCAGAAGGAGTGCAAGCCAGATTAGCATTCTTTTAATGTCACAGAAGTTCAGTTTTTCCATTAAATTACACTTAAAAACAAATTACGAAACTTCTGTGACATCCAAGTTGAAAATTGGAAACTTTTAGGAATATATTTTCGAAATAATAGCGACTACTAACTGGCGTACATGCCTACTTTACGATACTCTACTCATTAGCCATAATGCCATCCTCTAGCCGCCCACTACCACTACCGGTTAGCGATTCCCTTGCATTTGTACACGTCTCCCCGGCCAAGTTTCGAAACTAAAATGCAGAACTTAAGGAATGGGAAAACTGAAGCAATCTGTAGGGCATACAAGGAAAGTTTCAGGACCAGCTGATGCCTCCTGCCGAGCGTTTTAATATGCAAAGTGGGGAACTGAAAACTGGAAACTGAAAACAGAAAACTGAAGTGAAAACTGAAAGGCAGGGCGTGCAATCCGAAACACATTGAAAGTTTTGCAGGCAAACTGAAAATCTGTGTAATCATAACTTAACCAGGCCAGTGCAATGAATTGGCAGGCACTAAGCGGATGAATTGGTAGCCAAGTGCCAACTACTTTTTGTGGGAATCTGGAAATCTGGGAGTCTGAGATAGGGGGGACATGCGGGCTAATTGTGATGGTGATGAGATGCCATTGCTGCTTCAATTAGGAATACAGAGCGGAAATGCAGATGGAGATAAAAGTTGGGCAGCACAGGAACTTACCTGATCCGGGCAAATGGAACCTTGACTCGTCGTTGCGATTGCCGTCGCAGGACTCCTCCAGCAGGAGCAGGGCCGCCGAGGCGGCGGAGGTCGGCGAGTGCGGCGGTCCCACCATATTCATACTCAGGGCCAAAATGTCCGGATCCGTTAATTTGGCAATCGAGCACACATCGTTGGCATTTCGCTTGTCGACTGGTTACGGCATTGTTCAGATACAGATATATAGATACATACATAGATGGATAGATGAGGTAAGGTGGTAGGTTATAGGTGGATGGGGTGGGTAGTTTAGGGATAGGCGGACATTTTCGGGTTGACCCAATAAGTAGTTCCAAACAAAACAAATAAACAGCAATCGCAAACAACAACCACAACAGCAATAGTATAAGAACAATGCCAACAAACGAGGATAATGGTAAATGGGGCTTGTCTGTATGCGTGAGTGGTTTTATGAAACGAGTTTTGTATGTGTTGGTATGTTTAACAATGAGTGTGTGCGTGTAAATCGGACTGACTGACAAATAATCCCATACCATATTATACCATACCATACCATACAGGTGGAAAAGGTAATGGGGACAGGACGTGCAGGACACGAAATTAGATTTCCTCTCGAATCGAAAACACAATACCCCCAAAACGTACAAATAGGATTGAAAAGTAAATAAACAACAATTATAGCAATCGAAACAGGAAAATGAATTAATATTGATTTTCGGTACATTAATCTAAATGCAAACGAGTCAGCGAGTAATGGCAGGAACAATGAATTCATAAGGATGCATTTACGGGGGAGATGAGCAATTCGATTATCTATTTATTCCCAAAACATCATCATTTCCCCCAACCAGCTTAGCCCAGCCCAGGTCACAAGTTCAGCCATGTGAATAACTGATGATGAGTCTAAATTGATTGCGCACACACACTGGCACACAAGGACACTCCAGGATAATCATTAATACACAACAACAGGGCTATACACGTGGAAATGATTTTCTTTTTCCATTTTTTTCAGCTTTTGTGCTTATTGATTGTCAGCATGGATTTATTTTCCGGCAAAGGATTTATATTAAAATTTAATTAGCATTTAATGCTTTGCATAAAATCATTATTAAATGCATGTACACATATTTAAATTGAGGTCGAAATGAATTTAATGGTTGGAACTTTATGGCCACTGTTTGCCAACCAAACATCAACAGTTTTAAAAGAGTCTGACTATTTTAAATCCCAAAAATAACACAAAAATAAAACCCTAAGTGGAGGCTGTTAAATTGAGATTCGGGTTAGAGCTCCACTCAGTTTAGATTTTAGCGTTTAAGTTTTCCAAGCCCAACTCGACCGCAACCACTTTGGGTCTACACCAACTTTTTCACCTTCCCGCCAACATCAGAAAAGGGAGATCCAGAGCCCCGACCCTCTGCTTCGTTGACTTTTGAACTGCAGCACTCAAAGTGAAATCGGGTGGGGTTGGGGGCCATGGGGAATGGGGTGCTTCAACGAAGGCCATTACCATCCATTTGTCAGATTTTTGAAGTGTACATCACTTTGCCATTCTGATATAATCCGATGCGTTGGCCAGCCCAGCCCGGCCACCAAAAAAAGGCACTTTGCCTGCAAAACTAACCCATGGCTCTTGGATGTTGTGTCTGTGCGGTCAACCCAAAGTCCGATGTTGCCTTCCTCAAGTCTGTGGCTTTAATCTCTAGTTGTTGCCACATTTTCATTTTCATTTTCATGACACAGCCAGCCGCCATACACACAATCTCATAGCAATTACATTAAAAACTGCAACTGGATGGCAACTGCAATATTTAACGCATTTCTGGGAAGCGAGGAATTAAATCAGAATCAGAATTTTGGTTTGAAAGGATTCAATCAGGAACGCTGATTTAATTCCTCTCCCTGGTCCACGGGTCCTCTTCGGGGGGGGGCAGTCCACTTTTCCCATTCCCATGGTGGCCAGCATTTGCTCATTCATGCCACAAAGATACCCTGCCCCGTTTCCCTGGACCGCCTTCCTTGGCCCGCAGCAATCTGCTGATTGCTCTCCTTTCCCCCAGTCGTTTACACATTACAAATGCATTTGCATACACTGGGGGAAAAAATCAATCGCTTTTAATTATGGATAGTGTGCGATCTTCACTTTCTCTTATTGGGAATATATTTTGGTTTGAAGAAAAAAAACGTTTAACTTTTTGGAGGCTTTAAATATACGGAGGAAAAAGTATTATATAGTTAATGACTCTTCTCTTTTTTCATTTATTACTACTTTCTCCCTGTGTGGACTTACCCACACCCCAAGTCATACCCAAACTCAAACACACTCTCTCCCACACACTTACCTGCATTCAGTGCACCAGCGCTGGAGGGGCTGGGTCCGGACCCGGACCCGGAGACGGTGGCAGACCCGGAGCCTGCCGGCTGAGCCAAGTGACCTGCGGCAATTAAATTCGAGTTATTCGCATGGATCATGGCTGTGTGACTGGAGTTGCCGGTGCCATTCGGTAATTGCTGCTGATGCTGTTGCTGTTGCTGCTGCTGATGTGTCCCAGCGGCAGGTTCTCCTTTCCCAGGATACGCTGGTGACCTGTGAGGCTGCTGCTGTTGCTGCTGCAGTTGGAGGGGCTGATTGTCAGCGGTCATGGGTGGGGTGAGGGTCTGGTTACTGCCATTCGAGCTGGCCGGCGATGAGCCGCTCTCGTTGCTGGGCGTGAGGTCTCGTTTAGAGGCCAAAACCAGTGGTGAAGGCTTGACAGGAGCTCCACCACCGCCAGTACCGTTTCCCGCTCCACCTGAGGTCGAGGCAATGACAGAGTTGTCCAGCGAAAGTAGCGGCCTTATGGGCTTGTTATTGTTGACCGAAGCCGTCTTCTCCTTTAGTGTTGTGACCAGTGACGAGTCCAAGGATTTCACAATTTTCTGAAAGAGGTTGTTAAATGAAATTGGAATTAAAATGAAATGCATAAATAGGATTAAATTAATGGCATAAGAGAGATAAAAGCAAGACCATAATTAATGCTAATCAGGATAGTGCAGGAATAAATCAAACACATCTATTTAACATTTATTTTAAAGCGTAATTTGGCCAGAGGATATCACTCCTTGACACACTTGCTTTGAAAGTCGAGAGAAGTGGGATTTGGAAATTAGAGCGTTGAAATGAAATAAACACTATATAGACCTACTAATAGCCAGAAACAGATAGCAAGAGGCGGATGGCACAGAGAGACAGAGATGTAGAGCCCAAAAGTTGTCAATTAGTCAATGAGGGATGCAAATTGAAAGGAATTTTCTGTTTTTTTGTTTGTTTTTCAGTTTCAGAGCAGGAGTGGAGCAAGATGAAGTGGTGCGCCAAAAATGAGTAAAAAGAGATAGCTTTGTGGAGGAGAGTGGCTAGGTGGCTAGGTGGATGGGTGACTGGATGACTGGGGGGCATGCAGCAGGCTTCCCATTCCCCAGACCCTGAAAAAAAGCAATGAATGAGGTCCAATTAGGTTAAACATCAAGTGCGGATTCGTTTGGGAAATTGCTTTTTGTGGTGCAGGCAGAGGTTCCAGTACGAGTATCTTTTCAATGGGAGATGGGTGATGAAATGGAATGCAAGGCAAGGGGATGTGGAGGTGGAATGGCTATCTTCGGGGTGCTGGTTGTACTTACGGATTCGCCCAGCTTGTGCAGCGAGGCGTTTATGCGATCCGGATTGCGCGGCGGCGGCTCTGGTGGCTCTGAGGCTGCCATCGTTGGTCCGGCAGCAAGACCGTTGATTTGCATGCTAACCACCACCAATACACCCAAGCGCACAGGCACCACCGCACGCACACACACCCACGCACACTCGGGCACTCGGGAGGGACTCACTCAGAACTAGAACCCACCGGAAATCGGGCGTGTGAGTGGGCGGTAAGGATGATCTCGAGCTCTCTCCTTGATGCCTCAACTGCCACAACTCTGAACTAATCGATGCTCAAACATTCTGACTTGGCACTACACAGAGAGAAAATTAGCACAATATCAGTTACAAGTGGCCCATCTAAAGCACTCATGTTTGGCTATTAAAGTTCCAATTCGTTCAAATCAAATTAAAAATAAAAACTAAATGGGATTAACGATTCTGAATAATTTTGTTTTGTCTCTGTGTAATGGCCAAAAAGGCCTGGGAAGTGGGTCAATACGTACGCTGAGCTGGAGGTCCCTCTTGTACAGCAAACTCCCATTCAATTACGAGATGTCCTGCGAATATCCTGCAAGTAAACAAAATGGAAGCGTTTTCAGTCAGAATGCTAGCTCTTTTTTTTTTTTAGTTTGGAGTCTAACTAATTTAGTGCACAGCCCCACACAAATGGCCATAAAAACTGAGAGGTTTTCGAGTCCCCGACGGGCTTAGTTGTTTGTTAGCATGTCGGCCATAAACCACCATTTTGGTAGGTTTTTCGGGTTTAGTTTTTTCTTTGCAGTTGCATGTCAACGCTCAGTTCTCGGAGTCTAGTTCTGCAGTTGTCACTGCAGCTACAGCTGCTGTTTCAGCCGTTTCGGTCTGTTTTGGCCCGGTTCGGGGCTGCAGTAAAAGTTAAATTACAGCCCGGGCGGGCCTTCAGCTCCGAGCTGGCTGGCAAGAGTCTTAAATGGGCGGAGTGACAGCTGTTAACTGGGCACGAAGCGTGTGACAGGCCGGGGAACTGCCACATGAAGTGCTTGAAACTTTACCCGCTTACAAATCATAGGTGACATGGCATAAGGTTATCAGTGCGAAACATCATAAGCATTCAAGAGTTTAAGCAGACAACTGCTTTATTAAATAGAAACACTTTCCAAGAACCAGCCATTTCTCTCAGTTTTCTCTGCTTTTCTAATTAAGCACACACTCGTATGTATTCAAAAAGTCCCCTCCATAAGCTCAGCAAATATTAGCCAGAATATTAGCATACTCCCAGGCCAAAAATTACCTTTTCAATTGGCAGATCTGCCTCGAAAGCTCCCCCAACCACGCAGGTACTTTAAGTTTAATCCGCTTTAAGACCTACAACTACCACAAAGGGTGACCAGGAAAATATGTTGCGGTCATGTTCTGGCTTCATGTTTTTCTTACATTTTTCCCTAAAACCCCTGATCCAAATGGATGGATGGCTATGCCCTATGCATATACCAGGACCTGGTCCAGCACCAGGCTTAGGGCCAACAGAAGCGACCTCCGCTGCAAACTGGAATCCAACTCCGAAAGCACCTTGACGACGAGACCACAAACATTTATATTAAAGTAGCAACCCGGTAGCCGTAGCAGGTTACGGGCCCAGGCCCCAGACCCCAGACCGGGTTGCGGGTGGTGTGGCAGCCACACTAATGTGGTGTGCGCCACACACTAGGAAAACAAACTTTAATCATAATAATAACATGGAACTTTTGCGTTACATCCGTGCCACGAGCACAGATGAAGTTCTCTGGAGTTGCACTTTTGTCGGTGGCAGACTAAATATGAATAGGTATTTACGAGAATGTTGCACACAGACAGGCCGCAGATAGATATAGATGGGGCCATGTTAACTTAACCCCTGGCTGCCCCCCTAGTTCCCCATTAACTACCGTCTGGTGCTTGTGATTTTCCACAAACTTGCAATATTGTGTGTTTATTTTAATTTAAAAAAAGTTTATTTTCTAAGGAATTAAGCAACCAAGCAAACTTTTGGAACAATGTAGCGCTTGGCATTTCGCTTTCCTAACCTTTATTCGAAGCATAATCAAAATTTATCCAAAACCCCTTTCTAAATTATGAGTGTCCCTGAGGTAACCGCGCGGGACTTGCCCGGCTCCAGCTCCTCGGCCTTCTATGTTCACTTCCAGGATCCGGTGAAGGATCGTCCGCCCGTCGACCTGCAGCTCAAGAACCGCCGTCCGTCGCCACGTCACTTGGCGCGTCGGCAGGCGGCGGCGGCCGAGCGTCGCAGCGCTCTGGAGGATCTCAAGGTGCAGGAGCTGTCGGTCCGCTTGGCCAAGGTGGCCCTCCTGACGGACCGACACCACCGGCACACCACACAGACCTGGCTGGAGGCCCGGGATCGCATTAGCCGCGACATGGACGCCCATGTGCGCCGTCGTACGACCCAGATATCGAAACGCCTGAAGAACCTAGTGGAGCACAACGACGAGGTGAAGGCGCGCAAGGAGGAGGCACGGCAGGAGCGGTTCCTGCGGAAGCTAGCCCACCTCTATGAGGTCAAGACGATGAGCACGATTTCGCAATTTTGGGGTAAACTTTAGGACTAAACACTACACAGAGAGAAATTAAATGCGTCTTTTCTAGATAACTGAGGGACTGACGAGTGGGAAGTTTTTATCTCACAGATTATGCTTCGGCTTTTCACTTTCCAGCTGGGGCAAGTTTTGTTTTGTGTTAGGACGCTATTTTCCGCTTAGAAAGTTTCCCTGTCGAACTTCCAGATTCTCGCTGGAGTCCTTGTCATCGACATAGTTGCAGCAAATCGTTTGCCAACTTTGCAACATGGCCCGTTCCCCGGCTTTTTCCAAGTTAACTTTTGGGGCTTTAAGTTGGTCCAGGTTGTGTCCGGCAATTTGCATTGGAATGGGGCCAGCACAACGTTGAGTACGTAAAATTAGTTACAATTTGTGTCGAAGCCGAACAAATTAGCCTCACCAAGTGGCATGGGGCAGAGAGAGTGGCAGGGCCATGACTTGAAAGCATTTCTCCAGAGGCTGTCGGGCGTCAAAGGCAGGGCCCGATTATGTGCACTCAGCTGCAAGTTTCTCTGTACACATATATCGAGTGAAAGCAAACGTGTTGGCCGTTCTGGTCGTTCTGGCCAACTAAGTGCTTTCCCTTTGTCCAGGAGCATCTTGATGCTCCTCCAGCGAGTTAACAGTGGGAATGTGATTTCAAAACTGGGAACTGGGCACTGCAAACTGGGAGCTGGGAGCTGGGAAGTTCAGAGCTAGCACTTGACCTGTTTTCGCTTTACTTATTTGATTTGTGGCCTGCCGGTGACGCTGCTTATGCCGTTGCCTTCGCATTCAATTAAACTCCAGGCTCTTCTGTGTGTGTCTCTCGGTGTGTAAGCAATTTAGTTGGGAATGGAAGATTGCCCTGAGAAGTGTGCTTCATAAATTGGTTTTTATATGGCTGGGAGTGTGTGTGCATGTCTGGCTTTGAGGATTTTATCCTCTCAAGAATATATGTATATAAAGATTTATGAGAGGAAATATTTGGCATTTATGGCAAATATTTTAATAATATAAATACATTTATCAATTTTTACTTGCCACAAAAGGCGCTTAGGTAAGCACAAATTGAAAATTTCAATAAATCCGATTCAGGCACTAATCAAAAGCTTGAGCTGCTCTCGATGAAACACAAAATGGTATGCAGTATTTGCTTTTGCAATCGAATTATTCAACCAGACATCGAACTCTGCCCTCGAAATTGGCCATGACAGGGTCGACATATGTATTCCCTCGGGCAATACCGACTGGCGTGCCAATTGACATTGACAGTGGCACGGGAAATTCAATGAAAATTAATAAGCTGCTTTAACAGACTCAGGCCGCGGGCCAGGCAGGCATTGAAATCCCAGCCACCGCATGGCATGCCAAGTGAGAATTTAATGCCCGATTGACTAGCAGGACGACGTCCTGACAGCTATCATGAAGGACTCGATTGGCAGGCCACGATTGAAATGCAAGCGGACAAATAATTTCCAAGTGACTAACTTTATTGGACATCTGCATGGCATGCAGTGTGAGTCATTACTAGGCCTCAGGATATACTATATAGCTTAAAGCTTAAAGAGTATAGATCCCTTGCATATATTTCTCTTGGTGTATTGACCACTCCTCTCTGGCTTTAGCTCTAATTTCCTGTATGACTTTTTATCCCTTCTCGGCTGGGGAAACTTCGATCGAATGCCTGGAATGTGTGAGCAAAGCAATTTCCCATTTCCCTACTGGCAGAGGAGGAGCCGCATAAACCATCCTGCCACCGCCGCTTGCTCCTTTGCAGAGCCCCTTGTTGCCGCAAACTGACAGCAATCAGCTTTGCTGTGGCATGGAACGGCGCCAGATAAAGTTTTGTGCCGAGAAACTCATTTAGTTTGCAATTAATTAGTGGCAGCCGGCAGAGCAAAGTTGAATTTGTGTTTTTAATTTGACTAAATAGATGCAGCTACCCAGCTCCGGCTGGTGTACTATAGTTGTAGTTGCAGTTGCAGCTGAGAGCGTGTTGAACACAACGGATGAGGCGTTTAAGTACGCGGCGGGCGTGGCTAGTGGTAGAAGTTTCTACTCTGGTTGGAAATATTTTCGCTAGGCGCGAAATGTAAATGCTTGACCCAATTGGTAGTGGGGTCAGAACAAAAAAGTGCTGTTTAAAAAAAAACGAAAAAAAGCAACCACCAACCGCCGACAACAAAATCATTTAAAATGTTTTTCACGACGGAGGAGGGGTCTCTGAAAGTTTTCCCAGGAGGTTGGGCGAGGACAACTTGAACACAATTTGATAACCTACATTTCGGGGTGTACTTTGGGGTCTGGGATGTGGGGTGGCAAGGATACAGTTCATGTTCTTGGCATTTTTGTTGCTGGTCTTGGCAACATTAAAAATTTACACATGATGAGCTCGAGGCAGGCGAATCAGGCTGGGCGCCAGCAAAGGAGGGTGCGGGGATTTAGTGCAAAAGTGGAACGGAGTGTTTCCTCAGTGTCCTTGAGCTCTTGTTTTTATTTGGTATTAAGAGCATGTCAAGTGAGTCTGGCAAAGGCGTAGCACGAGAAGAAGCTGAGGCGGAGGCAGCTGGCTAAGTGAGTTTTCGTTGTTATTGTTGTTTTTTCTGGTTCCTTGTGACAGGAAACGGATGTGTGCGTAAGTCTATATGTGGTTGTGTGTGTGTGGCACGACGGGGCAGGACTGTCTCTTCCTTTTGTGGGCTGGGAAAGTCTTTAAGTCTTTTGCCTTAATAGCTTTCAGTTTTGCGACTTTCCTGGTCACGGCTGGGCTTTACTTGGTTCCCGTCCATGTATTCAACCCCTTTTTCACCTTTCTGAACACAAACACACACACGCCCAAGCCCACCGTCATCTTTTCCGTTCCCCGTGAGTTATTGTCGTGCGATTTATTACGCGACGCACTGTTGGTGGTCCCTCCTCACGGCCCACACGGCGTATGCGTTACGTGCGGCCATGTTATGTGCAATATTCACCCTCCGCCCTGTTGGCCACCCCATCCCGCTTGATTTATTCAACCAGGTGGCATACTTTTGACCCATAAGGCTGTGATTTAAAGGCTGGAAAAAAATCTCAAGCCTCCAGAGAGTGAATTAAAAAGGCAACAAAATAATAGTTTGTTTCTCTCGGTGCATCGCCAAAGGATGGTTTAATAGGTATCGTGTCTGGCGACAATTACAGGTGTTGTCATTATCAAGTGAGACACGGAAATTAATAAAGATTTATTCAGACACAACTCTTTAAATATATTTATGCGCATATTCTGATTATTCATTCATAAATCCCTAGTTCCCGCAAATCCCCAATGAAAAAGTGCGTAATTCTCGCCACAGATTATATTTCCCTTTTGCGCTCCATTTTGGGGGTGAAGCTATAAAAAACGACAACAAAAACAATGGCGGCTGAATAAAAATGCCAAAAATTTCCCTCTTTTTACACAGACACACACGCAATAGCAACAACAACAACAACAATAACATGGGCACAAATATTGACCGAATTTCACACTGGCGTTGAAATTTCCTTTTTTGGTTCAAATCTGTTTTTGTTGCTTTTGTGTTGTTTTGCCAATGTCTGTTCTGTTTGTTTTTGTTTTTGTGTTTACTGCGCTGCAGGATAAAATTACCTCGAACCTCGATTTGGCCGGAAAAGCAAGCTGCGCCACGTGGTCAAGTTAAAGTCAATGTCGGATAGTCCTTTTTTTTTTGGTTTTTTTGGTTCTGCAGTTTCTGGCTTTCTAATTTGTTGGACACGCTCTGGTCGAAAGTTTTTGGTGCGCTCTTGTTGATTTTATTGACACGCACACTCACACACACACACACAGTCACATACACACACTCACTGACAAACACTCACGCACGAGTCCTTCGCCGAGAGAGAAAGGGGAACTGCGATGGTGTTGGGGTGGAGAGGACAAGGCTCTGTCATAGAATATTACTATCAACCGCTTGGAACGTCTCACTTGGCGAAATTCTCGAATGGCACTGAGCAAGAGTCCTTGGCATTTGGCTCGAGTACCGTTTTTTGGCGGCGTCCCTGTGACGTCACAAAAAGCTACAGAGAACTAGAGAACTCTCCTTCCACCACGCATGCGCTGGGGTAAAAGCTCGGGGATCCCTTACCCCATACCAAGGAGTGCTCTCCAGAAACCCGACCTAACCATGGACAAGTGTTTGTTTACGTTTTCACGCCGAAGCATCCTGCCCAAAAAGGGCTCTTCCGAATCCTTGTTGCTCCGCTCCGGAAAAACGAAGGTCAAAGTTTGATTTACCCAACGAATTTACAAAATTGCATTGACACCCCCAGCTTGGGTACAGCCCATACCTCTGGTTGTGCCACTCCATTTCCAATTAATCAGCAAAATAAATTTCTGCTTTGGCGCTCTGAAGCTCAGGAAACCACAAAACATTTTCTCGACAATTTCACTTTAGCTTAAATCAGTCCTGTTGTTTCTGGCCACAAAGCAAGAGTTTCCTCTAATGAAATAGTTACCCTTAGCCCAGACATTTTGGTGGTTAGGAACAGAGAAAACATTGTTTTCCGAAAAGCCAGAGGAAGTATTTACAAAATATGCAAGAACTACTAAGAGATTCAGACTTGGGGGCACTATTCGCACATTTGAGGTTGCCCGTGGCAACTCCAGACTCTATACATCATAAATGTAATTCAATCTTCAGCAGACTGTACTTACAATTGTGCATTGTGTTGTCATTTTAAACAAGAAGCGACAATGGCATTGCCGGTTTTTGAGAAGTCTGTGGCATTGTAGGAACATTTAATTATGAAAGTGTGTGGCAAGCAAGTCACATATTATTCGGCTTTAATTTCATTTTAAATATGCACTCGAAAAGAACACTTGTTTCTCATATTTCCTGCATTTTTTGCCATTAAATTAAACCCATAATTCGACTACAAAAGTGCTTCATCGAGTGGCATATCAACGTGGAGTAGCAAACATGGCTTAAATAGGGTGAGAGCATATTATCCTGTAAGCAGAATTTGAACCTAGTAAGCCCTCTACAACTGTGTTGCACAATGAAGTGTCATTCATAAATAGGAGTGGCAGACGTGACTAGCCGCTGCCACGTACACCGTTTGCACCTGACAGCATCGGACCGATATATCCTGCCACCAGGACAACAGGGCATGTAGTTGTATTTATTGTGACTGACAATCATTGTGTTGGCTTTGTGTCTGCCCCCCTGTCTGCGGATATGTGGCAATGTGAAGTGCAGCCAGCAGATAAGCACACAGGCTGATGCTAATAAAATGTTATCAAATGAACGTCAAGTTGCTGGGCCTAGTCGGGCTTATCCTGGCAGACGCCATCGCCGATAGGACATACATTGACATCCAGCTGAACACAATGAGGAACAAATGCACAACCCTCCACACACATCGATTCCTGGCTCAGTTCATTCAACTTCCATTGTAGGCCTAGGAGGCACTAGGTACTCTTCCTCCACTTCGGGTCTCCAGGACACAAGACGTTCGATGGAAAAACGGAAGCTCGGAGCACTATCTGCCACAGGTGACGCGTGAAAATTCCACAAGGAGCGATGCGAGGAAGCGAGTCTGCTATGCAATTTCTCGCTTTGTCGTAACTCAACTGCCATTGACAGCAAAGTGTCCCACTGACAGTCACCACCACCCATCGGCAGTATCCGGCATAGCCTCAGAACCAAGGAACACAACTTCAACCTTTGCTTTTCAAGTACAGAGGGAAGTAGTGAAGCTGATTTAAATAAGATATTTATACCCGCTACTAAGAGGATAAAGTTTCATCAGAGAAGTCTTCTAAAAAGAATTTTACACAAATTCTGAGACGATTATGATAAAGACTCCAAAATGTATTACCATATATTATTTTGCAGTGTCTCCTTTTTTTCAGTTTTCGTGGCCAGTCGTTTTGTCAAGCCAAGCGATTGTGGGCATGGCACTGTCATTGTCCTTGGCTGACATCCGCATCATCCTTATAGCTCACGAACTGCCAGTCGGAATAAAAATGAGAAACTGGATAGGAAAAGGATGGGCGTGGGTGTGGCGCTGTGGGGCTGCGGTAATGCCGAGTAGAACGAGGATGTTTATCAATGCTTTACGCTTATCGCCGTCAGCCGCCGCACTCAGACAAGTGGAAACTATACAAGCCCGGCAAACAGAATGTACTATAAAGGAGTACTATGCGAAGTATATAACAAAAAATACAAATAAAATAAAAGGAAGCCGGATGCGTTGGCTTGACAACTTATTTCAACATCTTGTTATTGTCGCTGTGGCTGCTTCCTATTTTCATTTATCGCAGTAAACTTTTCCGCAGATGGCACTGGCAAAGAGGCAAGTATCAGGAGAGTGGTACGGGGGTGTCGCCAAAGTTTTCCCAATACTTTTTGAAGTCATTGTTGGCCCCGGCTCTGTGTGTGGGCATATGAGGCAATATCTTATTACAAAATATTTGCGTTCACTTCTAGTTATTGAAATTCGAGCAGAGTTCAAAAAGAATACCAGCTGCAAAAATATATATTTCGAAATTGAAAAGCAAGCTGAGATGTCTGGTTCCTCTGATGTCTAAACTGGCAAGAAGGGGCTAGACGAAGTAATGCAACCAAATCAGCTTACAGATGCATTGATTACCTCTATTAGGGTTCTAGAGATGGCCAAGTAATGAATCGAATTAGTATGCAAATGTCCCTGAGAGGACAAAAGGAAGGATACCCTTTCGTTTGTGTTTGTGTTTATGCTTCTCCTGGCCATTCTACATCCTGTAGACTAAATGTATATGTGCTGGAGTCTGCTCTGTACTACCGGATGTTGCTAAACGGTTTATCGCACTTGCCACTGAACATTGAGGAAGAGAGAAAGAGAGAGTGCGACAAGGAAACTGCGATATATTATTAATGTCTATTATAAGGCAGACGAAGCCAATGCGGCGTATGCGCATTTTTTTGTATATTTTTTATTTCGTTTCATTCGCTTGGTTTTTATTACGGTCTTGCCCCGAGGCAACGACACATTTCCAGCAAATGTTTCTCCATTTATCCTTACATCCTTTTTCCCTTTGCTGGGCTGGGGGTTTGGGGTTCCGGACTTTAGCGGTTTTCGCCCGGACTCCATGGCAAGTTCCCGAGCATCGCCCAGCATCGCTTAATAAGTTTTTATTGCCCCATCTCACGCCAATTGGGTGTTGGGTGTTGGGCGGACGAACGTGTCCGGGCAGCGGTCGGGCAGATAATCAGACCCAGTTTCAATTTCAATTTCGGCCACCTGGCCACACCCCCATTTGGCCATTTTCGTTTGGCGGCAATTAACACGGCCAAATGCCAGGAATTCTCTTTGGTTTTGGGCAGATTATTTAACTGCGGTTGATTTGCGTGCCCGTGGTTATAGCGTGAAGTTATGCAACAAGAAAGGCTTAAATGTTTAACATCATTTTGCAGCGATTAACTCAGCTGCTCTGCTGCTTAATTGAAAATCGTGCCAAGGATACATAGTATGTGTGTTTCAGGATATATGTAGCTTACAACTTGGTATCAAATCAACCGGAATGTCCTCTCTCTCCCTCCGTAAACCCTCGGAGGAATTTGTAGTTTCCTGCTTTTTTATTCATGGCCCAAATATTTCGTTCATATTCGCAATTTTATGGCAAAGGGACGTGCTCCCATGAACAGTTTATGTATGAGTTGGCACTGCCATCGATAAATCTTCTTCGGAAGTAAAAAAATAGACGAGAACTTCAGAGGAAAATAAATAAAAACAAGTTAAGCTACTTTTGTCATACCAGTATAAGGAAAATAACTACAATTCCAACATAAATATAGATGTTGAAAAGTAGAGAACGAAACTAAAAATGGAGAAACCCTTCAATTGATGTTCAAGGAATTTTTCATTTTAATTGGACTTCAATACCAGACAGAACGTTTAATCTCTTAATAGCAATTGCAAGGAGCTTACAATCAGAAGGAGTGCAAAAATTATTAGTGGCTTAAATAAGTAAACAGTTGTTTAAGAATTATTTAAGAGCAATAGTTTTTGTAGCTCAACAATTTGTTGGCACTTGCCGAGGACTTTCTTCATACGGCAACTGTTAATCCTCAGCTTCCTTGGCTCCATCAAATCTTTATGAATACTTTCCCCCCAGAAATGAACATTGTAAACTCTGCCCCATAAACCCCCAGCTCGAATGAATGAGCACACAGAGAAAAAAAAAGATGGGGAGAGTAGCTTTCACCATCCCGAGGGGCAAGACTTCCAATGGCTTTGTCTGAGGCAAATTGCTGCCGTAAAAGCGAGTCCGGTAAGCGGCGGCTTACCATCAGCCGGGTACCCGGACTCCGAATACGGATCCGAACAGCGACCTGCATGCACCCAAATGCACTTAAGATGTCACACCGAACTGCAACCGCGGTGGCAAACAAAAGCCACATGTGCATCCCTGCCACATGGCCGCTCCTCACCCTGAAATCCGCCCCTTTTTGGTCCCTTTTATGTGGCACCATAACTTTTTCCCTTGGTCCGCCTTTTTCCACTTTTATGGCTGACCAGCGATTAGTTCATTCCTTTCACACTTTATGGCCGAAAGTAATAGAGAGAAAATACGAAATTGCAGGGCTAACCCCAAACTCCGCTGATATTGATCAAAGCCGGTGGCATTTCCATATTCCCAGTCACCAGTCACCATCCAGCACCATCCACTTTCACTAAAAGCTTCCACCACAAAAGAAGAAGTGCCCGCATTTGCTCAGCACTTGACCAAGTATTTTCCATTCGGCAAAACTTACGGCTTGAACCAGTAACCCATATGCTAACTCCACTTTATTCCGTTCTATTCCACCCCGTTTTAAAGTATTTTTCCACTGCCTAGTTCCAATAAACTTACCAGCCAATAAGCGTTCAATTAGTGACACTCTCTGCAAAGAAAGTAATAAAAGCAAATATTAGTTTTCAGTAAACTGAACAAAAATGAATGGTGAGTTATGAAATTAAAATTTTAATAGCAACTTTTATAGCAAATACCGGGTATAAATAGCCTTTTATTTGGCTCGTTTCAAAAATATATTGCATACCCCAAGGCGCACGCCTCAAACCAAATTCAATTCCAGAAAAGGCGACCGAGCACAGCTGCCTGCATCGGGCAAAGAGATTAAACTTGTCTGGGGCCACAGCCCAGGACTTATTCGAGCCTTCCTCGCTCCTTGGCTCCTGCCCGTTTCTGGTTCTTGTTCCTGTTCCTGTGGAGCCTTGTTTTGCGTTTGTGCTGTGTTTTAATTGGGTTTTCTGCCATATTAGATTTCAGATTTGCAAGCCTGCCAGCAGAATCGCAGAGACTGCAGCCAAATGCAAATTTTTCAAAGAAATCTGTATGCAAGATGCAGTTGGAAGCTTCCTAACAGCTTTGGTAATCAGTTACTTCAGAGTTTAATAGAGTTTAATGCTTTAATAGATTTTCCATCATTTTAGCAAAACATTCACATAATTAAAATCATAACCAGTCATAAGCCAAAACATATAGTTTCAAGTACTAGTTTCAAGTCTGTGAGCACAAACCTAATTGCCCTTAATTCTATTTACATATTTTCAAAATTGCCACTTTAAAGCTCTTCCAGTCTGTGGAGCGCCATTAAATAACGAGTTCCACTTACACAAAGACGGACATAAATTGCCATTAAATTTTGAGTAAATATCGGCAGAGGGAGAAGGGCGTAACTGGGCGAGGAAAACAATTCCCTCGATGCAAATTTCATGCTGTGGAAACTCAATCAAAGGAAAGGCAAGACAACCAACTCACAGATGGGAATTTTTCTGGCTTTTCCCTTTTCGGAATGCGAATTTCGAATGCCTGCTTAACCGCACTCAGATACTCAGATACAGAAACAGAAACAGAGAGACAGACGACTGTAACATTTGCATACGTTGGCTTGGTATGTACACACGAAATGCAGTCATGAATTGAAATGCATATTTCGAGAACGCAGCCTTGATTTCAAATGCGTTCGTTCCATCGAAGTTTGTGCAGAAAATAAGTCGCAACTGCCTCCTCTACCTGTTGGCACAAAAGTTTATGCCTTATCCTACCGCTTTGGTGGCATTTAATGAGTAGCTTCCCAGTATCAACATCAACATCATCACCGTCATTACCTCTGCCGGATCGTTTCTTCGTGTTCATCTAACCATCCGCTGCACCGTCATCTAATGCCACTTTGTAAGTGGTTATTTAGCGTAAGTAATGCAATAAGTCTGTTCGTTTTACCTTCTTTATATATACATATATATAGAGCCATCCATATATATCCTTCTGCTTCTCGTAATCCTCGGTGTCTGGTGCCACCGAAAAAAGCCAAGAGGAAGGCTTGGGCACGCGGTGCCCGTGCCGGAAAACTATTTTCCACGGCTGGCAGAGTAGAAGATGGAAACTGCAAAGTGAATTAGCACGAACTCGAATGTGAATGGGAATGAAAGCTGCAACCTGCACTACCAAGAACTCTAATTCATTCCATAGAATTTTAATTGGCTTCTTGCCGAACGAAAAGTTTAAGCTGGAGTTAACTTTTTCCAGGTGTTTTTCAATAGTTTTTCAAACAAAGAGCAAATGTTTTCACCTTTTTCCTTGCATATTTTCGTTTAAGTAACTTTCAGGGACAGAGATCCGAGAGACACTTTATTTCTTCATGGCCATTTAAACTGGAAAAGTACTTCCTTTAACTTGAAGAGTTAAAGAGTAAACCTTAACCAAACATGCTTGGCTGTATATTAATTAATTGAGTAATTATCTAATTGGTTGACAAATTGATACTCGAACCTTGTTGGCTAATATTTAGTTACATCATGTAAGACTTAATCAAAGTGAGACATGTTTGTTAAACGGAATAATTGAAAGTTAATACGTTTGCTCATCGATGTAATTAATAATTCCCTTGGCGAATGTAATCAGTTAACTATTGTTATGGGCCCGTATCGAGCTACTGGGCAGACAAGTAGAATATTATTGGGAAATAAAAATCAATTTAAATTCAGAGACCACACCCAGAAACAGCGATAGTTCCATTCTGGCCACCGAGAGACAACTGTAAACGCTCTATATATGGCGGCCAGTCAATAGGAAATCATTTGGTAACGCCGACCAGAGGCGTTACTGGACGGGGACCGGGGACCGGGGACCGGGGATAGTGGGCAACCCGACCTGCCATAAAGAGAAACAGCTAACCAAACGCGTACGTGACAATAAAACGAAATGTGTAATAGTCGCTGACATCGGTGTCTGTGGCAGTGGCAGAAGCAAAAAGCTGACAAACAGGCGAACAGATGGAGCGGCAGCTCCAGTGCCTCAGCAGCTCACGATGCTCTTTTTTCGCGCTTTTCCTACATGGTGGATGAGGGGCAGAGGCGGTTGAGGAAAAACTAGCGAATTGCAAATGCAATGGCAACTGCAAGTTGACAAATTTATTTTCCATGGCGATGTCAGGCAGCAACGGAACGCGACTCGAGTGCAAATGAGTAAAAGGAAACATAACAAACATTTCGAATGTGGCAAGTATTTTGCAGGGATGTGGCAAGGGACATGGAGAAAGCCAGTCTTGAATGTTCAGAATTTGTCGCATTGTAGCAAAATATATGACACAAACACTGCAGAAAATGGGAATAACATTGTGACGTTGAAAGATGGCTTGAGGAAAAATATTACTCATACGACTAGTGGGTTTCTAAAATAAAATCAACAAAACAAAGAAAAAAGAAGGAGAAATATATTAAATATATTATAAATAAAGTTATTTTAGGGTAAAAAATAAACAAAGCAAAATTTTAAATTGATTTTAAACAAAATATTACTCATACGCCCCACAGACCCACACGAATTCTGCCTCAAGGAGCAGTTTTTCCGATAATTGGGTTTCTGCAAAATATTACTCATACAACTAGTGGGTTAGTTTAAAGAAATAAGCTTCAAATGAACAAGATTTTAAAGACACAAACGAGAAATAAACTTAAACAATTTGAAATGAATTTATTTTGTCTTTAAACTTTCAATTAAACAAAAACTAGGAAAATATTATTCATACGCCCCATAAGCCCACAAAAATTATTATATCTCCCATTAAGTAGTTTCCCCTTTCAAAGCATAAAAGCAAAACATTTATTTAACGGCTAACCACATTAAAGCTGAAAGTCTCTGAGGATGAAATAAAACGCAATTGTTTCCAGTCTAAACCAATTAATATTGCATTTGACCAAGACATAGCTCCAGCCATAACTCTCTTCTTTTATCTCTCAATTCTCCGTTTCTCCATTTCTCCACACCTTTCTCTCTTGAAACTTTCTTGTTTTTCCTCGAGACTACATGAAAAATGTATTGCCACTGCAGTGGGGCCAAGGTTGAAAGGTAAGCCAGCTACCCAGCGGTGGGAATAAGTTCCTGGCCGAGACCATGACTTGGTTCAGCAGACAGGCACGAATTTAATAAAACGAGAAGCTAGCTACAGGACAATCCTGAATGGCAAAAAAAAGGGAAGGAAAGCCAGGAGGCAAATATGCGAAACATACGAGCGGAAGTCGGGAAAATATGCAGCCCACTTGAGGTGTGTCCTCTGGCAGAGGGACCTGTTGCTCGAATGCCACTCGCACTTGAATCCAATCGAAATTGTTTAGCGGAAGCTAGGGACACAGGATACGGGATACGGGATACGGGATATGGGATATGGGATATAGAATACAGGACATCAGGTGGGAAGGCAGACAGGAAAAGGGTATCCAAGTGAGAGATGCGACAGGAAGGATAGTGGCAGTGAGAATTTCATTTAAAATGTGCGCCATAAGTACGCATTACACACACTCAATTTCCTTTTCCATTTCTCCACCCCCTTAGGGGGATGAGGAGGCCCTCATCCAATGCCAAAACGGAAGCTTTTGGTCCTCACACATGTGGCGCTTTTCCTGCTGCCGTTGCTTATCAAATTCCCGTTAACTCCTGCCACAGAGCCCCCGCCCTGCTACTGCCATTGCCACTGCCACTGCCACTTTCCCCCTTGAAACCGAATCCACCCAACCATCCGACGATGTCGGTAATGTCGGCATTTTATGCGTTCCTGGCATTTTGTGGCTGCGGCTGCTGCATCTGCATCTGCCACCTCCTGGCCAGGCCTCCAGCCTCCCCCATCCCTCTCATCCCACTCAATGTCTGCTTAAATTTGTCGCCAGGGGCAGTTTTCGTCCGGCCTTCGTAGGTGTACATTTCACATTATCCCCGGAATTTTACTGATGCACCAAGAAAAAAAGAGTGTTCTTACACAAAAAATAATAATAATATCATAATATATACTATAACCTATTGTTTAACCCTCATAAACACTGTATCTACTCTGTTTTTCTATTTTTTAATTTTTCTGGTGGTACACCTGGTGCTGACATCGCACCATGGACTTATTATGTCCTTCATTAAACATTGTAAATTATAACCTGACATCAGCCTTTATATAATCAACCAATATTCGCTGCCTTTGATGAGCTTTAATTATCAGCAGGAACAATTGTGACAAACCCAGCCCATATACGATGGTAGCTATAATTTCAGACCTGTCCCCGTGAATGGGCCCCTCGGGAGGCCAGCGAGATGCGACATCTAATAGGATTTTGGGTCACTCGCAGTACATTTCAATTAGTGGCTACAATTCTGGCGGCAGCTAATGCAGTGAGGTGAGTCTGGGATTAGGTGATTAGACTGGACAGCCAGCTGGAACCTCTGACACACACTTTTTCAGCCAATTTAAGCTGCCAAAAAGTCGCAGTCTACTTTAAACTCGACAAACTCCAGGGACACAAAAAAAAGTACTTCCGAGACGATACTTAAAGTCCAGACAAATGATAAAAAAAACGATGGGACGGAGGAGTACTAAAGGATGACTTTATGGCTTTTCAA